TACTTCCATTCTAATAATAATCTAATAATAATAATAATAAGTAGTATTTGCCTCTCCCCTCTAATAATAATAATAATAATAATAATAATAATAATAATAATAATATAGTTTATTACTCACTTCCATTCTAATAATAATCTAATAATAATAATAATAAGTAGTATTTGCCTCTCCCCTCCAATAATAATAATAATAATAATAATAATAATATAGTTTATTACTCACTTCCATTCTAATAATAATCTAATAATAATAATAATAATAATAAGTATTATTTGCCTCTCCCCTCTAATAATAATAATAGTTTATTACTCAACTTTCCCCTCTAATAATAATAATAATAGTTTATTACTCCTCTTCCTCTAATAATACTTATAATAAGTATTATTTAGATGCCCCCTCTAATAATAATATTAATAATAATTTATTACTCTCTCCAATAATAATAATATAATGTATTACCCGACTCTCCCCTCTAATAATAATAATAATAATAATAATAATAATAATATAGTTTGTTACCCGCCTCTCCCTCTGAAAATGATAGTATTATCAGGTATTACTCGCCTCTCCCCTCTAATAATAACAATAACAATATAGTTTATTACCTGCCTCTCCCCTCAAGTAGTAATAACAATAATTTATTACTCCCTCCAATAATAATAATATAATGTATTACTCGCTTCTCCCCCAATAATAATAATTTATTACCCTTTTCCCTTAATAATAATAATGTATTCTAATAATAATAATATATTTTGTTACCTCTCTTCCTTCAAGTAATAATAATAACAATAATTTTATTACTCTAATAATAATATTATAATGTATTACTCACCTCCTCGTATAATAATAATAATAATAATGATAATGATGATGATGATAATGATAATGTTCCCCCTCTAATAATAATAATAATAATAATAATAATAATAATGATGATGATGATGATGATAATGTATGATGCTTCTCCCTCTAATAATAATAATAATAATAATGTGTTACCCTTCCCCCTCTAATAATAATAATAATAATAATAATGATGATGATGATGATGATAATGTATGATGCTTCTCCCTCTAATAATAATAATGTATTACCCTTCCCCCTCTAATAATAATAATAATAATAATAATAATAATAATGATGATGATGATGATGATAATGTATGATGCTTCTCCCTCTAATAATAATAATGATAATAATGATAATGTATTACCCTTCCCCCTCTAATAATAATAATAATAATAATAATAATGTGTTACCCTTCTCCCTCTAATAATAATAATAATAATAATGTATGACCCTACTCCCTCTAATAATAATAATGATAATAATGTATGACCCTTCTCCCTCTAATAATAATAATAATAATAATAATAATGATGATGATGATGATGATGATAATGTATGATGCTTCTCCCTCTAATAATAATAATGATAATAATGATAATGTATTACCCTTCCCCCTCTAATAATAATAATAATAATAATAATAATAATAATAATAATAATAATGTGTTACCCTTCCCCCTCTAATAATAATAATAATAATAATAATAATAATAATAATAATAATAATAATAATAATGTGTTACCCTTCTCCCTCTAATAATAATAATAATAATGTATGACCCTTCTCCCTCTAATAATAATAATAATAATAATAATGATGATGATGATGATGATGATAATGTATGATGCTTCTCCCTCTAATAATAATAATGATAATAATGATAATGTATTACCCTTCCCCCTCTAATAATAATAATAATGATGATGATGATGATGATGATGATGATAATGTATGATGCTTCTCCCTCTAATAATAATAATAATAATAATAATAATAATAATAATAATAATAATAATGTGTTACCATTCTCCCTCTAATAATAATGATGATGATGATGATAATGTATGATGCTTCTCCCTCTAATAATAATAATGATAATGATAATGTATTACCCTTCCCCCTCTAATAATAATGATGATGATGATGATGATGATGATGATGATGATAATGTATGATGCTTCTCCCTCTAATAATAATAATGATAATGATAATGTATTACCCTTCCCCCTCTAATAATAATGATGATGATGATGATGATGATGATGATAATGTATGATGCTTCTCCCTCTAATAATAATAATAATAATAATAATAATAATAATAATAATGTATTACCCTTCTCCCTCTAATAATGATAATAATAATGATGATGATGATGATGACAATGTATGATGCTTCTCCCTCTAATAATAATAATGATAATAATGATAATAATGTGTTACCCTTCTCCCTCTAATAATGATAATGTATGACCCTTCTCCCTCTTATTATTATAATAATAATAATGTATGACCCTTCTCCCTCTAATAATAATAATGATAATAATGTATTACCCTACTCCCTCTAATAATATTATTATTCGCCTCTCCCCTAAATAATAATAATAATAATAATAATAATAATAATAATAATAATACATTATTTGCCGCTTCCCCCTAATAATAATTTATCACCTCCCTCTAATTATAATAATGGCATTCATTACCAGACAATCCCCTCAAATAATCAAGATTATTAACCTCCCCCTCCTCCTAATGATAATAATATAATGTGTCCCCCCCCCCCCCAATAATAATGATTTCTTCATTGGACCCCTCTCCCTGCGGCTCCAGGAAAGGGGGGGGGGCAACAGGACGGTAAAGAAACACAGGTAGTGGTGGTGGCGGTCTTTGGCCGGACTTTAGACCAGCCCCCTGCCCCCTAACACTGCTCTTCGGCCGGTCCTTTCCTCCCTCCCTCCCTCATCCCCTTCTTCTTTCCTTCCTTCCTTCCTTCCTTCCTTCCTTCCTTCCTTCCTTCCTTCCTTCCTTCCTTCCTTCCTTCCTTCCTTCCTTCCTTCCTTCCTTCCTTCCTTCCTTCCTTCCTTCCTCCTTCCTTCCTTCCTTCCTTCCTTCCTTCCTTCCTTCCTTCCTTCCTTCCTTCCTTCCTTCCTTCCTTCTTTCTTTTCTTTCTTTCTTTCTTTCTTTCCTGCGGCGGGATCCTGCCGCATCATCTGCGGGTCTCCTGGCAGAGTGACAGCCCTCCTCCTCTTCCTCCTCCTCCTCTTCCTCGTGTCCCACGCCGCAGCCCGGCAACCCTGAGTCACGGCTTCACAGAGATTGGGAGGGGGGGGGCAAGAGGGTAACAAGGAGCCCCCTCCCCCAGGAAAGACCCTTGGTGGGGGGATATGTGCATTTGATGGGGGCACAGCATGGGATTGGAAGCAGGAGAGCAGACCCACGAGGGTCTCCCTCTGTGTTGGGGGGAGGGTAACAAGGACCCCCTCCCCCAGGAAAGACCCTTGGTGGGGGGATATGTGCATTTGATGGGGGCACAGCATGGGATTGGAAGCAGGAGAGCAGACCCACGAGGGTCTCCCTCTGTGTTGGGGGGAGGGTAACAAGGACCCCCTCCCCCAGGAAAGACCCTTGGTGGGGGGATATGTGCATTTGATGGGGGCACAGCATGGGATTGGAAGCAGGAGAGCAGACCCACGAGGGTCTCCCTCTGTGTTGGGGGGAGGGTAACAAGGACCCCCTCCCCCAGGAAAGACCCTTGGTGGGGGGATATGTGCATTTGATGGGGGCACAGCATGGGATGGGAAGCAGGAGAGCAGACCCACGAGGGTTTTCTCTGACCCTGTGGGAGGGGGTTTCCTTCTGTGTTGGGGAGAAGGGGGGAGATCAGGAAGGTAACAAGGATCCCCTCCCCCAGGAAAGACCCGTGGTGGTGGTGGTGGTGGGGGGTAATGTTCATTTGATGGGGGGGGGGCACAGCACGGAACAGGAAGCAGGAGAGAAGACCCATGAGGGTCTCCCTCTGACCCTGTGGGAAGGGGTTCCCACTCTGTGTTGGGGTGAGGGGGATATCAAAGACCCACCTCCCCAAGGAAAGATCCTTGGTGGGGGGTTATGTCCATTTGATGGGGGACATAACATGGAATAGGAAGCAGGAGAGAAGACCCACGAAGGTCTCCCTCTGACCCTCTTTGGAGGGGGTCTCCCTTTGTGTTGGGCGGGGAGGGGTGATCAGGAAGGTAACAAGGACCCCCTCCCCCAGGAAAGACCCTTGGTGGGGGAGTATGTTCATTTGACGGGGGCACAGCATGGGAATAGGAAGCAGGAGAGAAGACCCACGAGGGTTTTCCTCTGACCCTGTGGGAAGGGGTCTCCCTCTGTGTTGGGGGGAGGGTAACAAGGACCCCCCTCCCCCAGGAAAGACTCTTGTAGGGGAGTATGTGCATTTGATGGGGGACACAGCATGGAATCGGAAGCAGGAGAGCAGACCCATGAGGGTCTCCCTCTGACCCTCTTTGGAGGGGGTCTCCCTTTGTGTTGGGCGGGGAGGGGTGATCAGGAAGGTATCAAAGACCCCCTCCCCCAGGAAAGACCCTTGGTGGGGTGTGTGTGTGCATTTGATGGGGGACACAACATGGCAGCAGGAGAGCAGACCCATGAGGGTCTCCCTCTGACCCTGTGGGAAGGGGTCTCCCTCTGTGTTGGGGGGAGGGGGGATCAGAAGGGTAACAAAGACCCCCTCCCCCAGGAAAGACCCTTGGTAGGGGGTTATGTTCATTTGATGGGGGGCACAATATGGAATAGAAAGCAGGAGAGCAGACCCACGAGGGTCTAGGAGGGGGGTCTCCCTCTGTGTTGCGGGGAGGGGGGATCAGGAGGGTAACAAGGACCCCCCTCCCCCAGGAAAGACCCTTGGTGGGGGGTATGTTCATTTGATGGGGGGGCACAACATGGAATAAGAAGCAGGAGAGCAGACCCACGAGGGTCTCCCTTTGCCCCCGGGGGGGGGGGGTCTCCCTCTGTGTTGGGGGGAAGGGTCAGCATTCCCATTGGGAGAGACACTGCGGCGGAGGGCAGCGGGGAGGGGGGGCAGGGGCGGGGCCTCTCTCCAGGCCACGCCCCTCCCTCCCTTGGCCCCTCCCCTTTCCCTTTCCCCCTCTCCCTCTCTTCTGGGCTGCCGTTCGCCCTGGGGCTTCCGAGGGAGAGAGAGGCAGTGGAAGCGGGGCCATGGCCCGGCTCTGGCTGGTCGCCGCCTGGATGGGTGAGTCTGGCCCCTTGGGGTCTTGGGTGGGGGGGACCCCCAAAGAGAGAAAAGAGGGAGCAACTCTTTCCAAAAGGGACATCTGCGTTCTCACAAAAGGACCCAAGAGAGGAGAATAAGGGGAGGGGGGTTTCCTAGAGGGGGGCACTTCTTCCCCGAAGGTCAAGGCAGGGACACGCCCCCTCCTTCCCTCCGAAGCCCCGCCCCCTCTTCAGCGAGCCCCCTCCTCAAGAAACGCCTCTTTTGGCAGCCAAAGAGTCCCTGGGATCTGCATCCAGAAGATGCTGAGTCAGCTTTCCTTCTCAAGAGTCAGCATTTCCCTAGCCCCCTCTCTTAGCAGAAGAGCTTTGTGCTGCCAGGGTTTCCTCAGCCCCAAACATCAGGGGGCACCTTCGGGGTGGGATCAGACATGCCCCCTCTATCTGTCAATCAATATAGAACTCTTCTGACCCTCATCTCCAAGCAGGACCTCACCAGATAGGGCTCAACCTGCCCTGCCACCCCACACTTGCAATTTTGGCAGTGCTCTCTCCCTGGACCCAGGCCAACCCTTCCCTAGCCCCCTCTCTTAGCAGAAGAGCTTTGTGCTGCCAGGGTTTCCTCAGCCCCAAACATCAGGGGGCACCTTTGGGGTGGGATCAGACGTGCCCCCTCTATCTGTCAATCAATATAGATGTGTGGGGCAACTCTCCTGACCCTCACCTCCAGGCAGGACCTCTTCAGAAAGGGCTCAACCTGCCCTGCCACCCCACACTTGCAGATTTGGCAGTGCCCAGGCCAACCCTTCCCTAGCCCCCTCTCTTAGCAGAAGAGCTTTGTGCTGCCAGGGTTTCCTCAGCCCCAAACATCAGGGGGCACCTTTGGGGTGGGATCAGACATGCCCCCTCTATCTGTCAATCAATATAGAACTCTTCTGACCCTCATCTCCAGGCAGGACCTCACCAGATAGGGCTCAACAAGCCCTGCCACCCCACACTTGCAGATTTGGCAGTGCTCTCTCCCTGGACCCAGGCCAACGCTTCCATAGCCCCCTCCCCTGGCAGAAGAGCTTTGTGCTGCTAGGGTTTCCTCAGCCCCAAACATCAGGGGGCACCTTCGGGGTGGGATCAGACATGCCCCCTCTATCTGTCAATCAATATAGATGTGTGAACCAGGGGCGGCTCGTCCATTACGCGAAGTAAGCGGTCGCAGAACACTTTTTTTTGCCAGGGGCGCAGAGGCGCCTCTGTAAATGCCCCTCGATCGCCACTTGAGGAGCGCCCCCTCAGCTCACAACAGCCTTAGCAGTCCGGGGGGGGGGGGGGAGAGAGCCTCGGCTTTCTTGCCTCGCTGCCGGACGATCCTCTTCCCAAAGAGAGCGAGAGAGAGAGCCCCTCCGGCTGGAGGTATCTCCCACCTCCGCTGCCTCCTTTGTTTTTGCGCCTACCTTCAGGAAAGGTGGGCATCTCCACCTCTTCTCTCTCTCTCTCTCGGTCCCAATGGCTGAGGAGAAAGTCAGGAGAAGAGGTGACTTTTGGTACACACGCCGGGGTCTTCAGGCACGCCTCCGGACCCAAAGCGGGCCAGGCAAGGGACATATGTGCATTGTAGTTACTGGGATGCACAGTTCACCTACAATCAAAGAGCATTCTGAATTCCACCAATGATGGAATTGAACCAAATATGGCACACAGAACTCCCACGAGAAAATATATATCAATGATTGGTTAGGGGGGGGAGCGCCGCAAAAATACTGTTTGCTTACCGTTGAAAATTACCTAGGGCCGCCTCTGGTGGCAACTCTTTTGACCCTCACCTCCAGGCAGGACCTCATCAGAAAGGGCTCAACAGGCCCTGCCACCCCACACTTGCAGATTTGGCAGCTCTCTCCCTGGACCCAGGCCAACCCTTCCATGGTAATCCTGCAACTTCACTCCAGCACTGGATGTTATGTGTAATTTTTTCCCATCTGGAATGAAGTTGCAGATCTTCAAGGGCAGGCGAAATGTCAGGAGAAAGTGCTGCGAGGACATATGGACTGTGCAGCCTAGAAAACCATGCAACACCACCCCAGGGATTCCAACTTTGCATTAAAAGCCTTTGACAATTAAGAAGCCATTACGACATCTTTGGTTATTAAGGCCGGGGAGTGGCCGAAAGTGCATCCCCGGGAAGCTCTCTCTTGATCACGACCAGAGGCAGGTTTGGACCAGGGCCATTTCCATATGTCATCAGTTGGGGACCCCCCCCCCCCCAGCAACTGCCACTCTGGGCCAGAGTGAAGAGAGAGGGGGTCAGGGGACAGTTCCATCTTGACTCCTGCATATATCATCAGCTGAGGACCCCTCTCCCCAGCACCAACTGCTGCTCTGGGCCAGAGTGAAGAGAGAGGGGGCTAGGGGACAGTTCTATCTTGTATCCTGTATAGGTCATCAGTTGGGGACCCCTCCCCCTAGCACCAATTGCCGTTTTGGGCCAGAGTGAAGAGGGGGCCAGGGGACAATTTCATCTTGTATCCTGCATATGTCATTAGCTGGGGACCCCTCCCCCCAGCACCAACTTCGGCTCTGGGCCAGCCTGAAGAGAGAGGGGGCCAGGGGACAGTTCCATCTTATCTTCTCTATAGGTCATCAGTTGGGGACCCCTACCCCCAGCATCAACTGCTGCTCTGGGCCAGAATGAAGAGAGGGGGGCCGGGGACAGTTCCATCTTGTCTCTTGTTTATGTCACCAGCTGGGGACCCCTCTCCTCAGCACCAACTGCTGCTCTGGATCAGAGTGAGGAGAGAGGGGGCCAGGGGACAGTTCCATCTTGTCTCTTCCATATGTCATCCATTGGGGACTCCTCCCTCCAGCACCAATTGCCACTTTGGGCCACAGTGAAGAGAGAGGGGGCCAGGGGACAGTTCCTTTTTGTTTCCTGCATATGTCATCAGTTGGGGACCCCCCCCCCCCAGCACCAACTGCTTCTCTGGGCCAGAGTGAAGAGAGAGGGGGCCAGGGGACAATTTCATCTTGTATCCTGCATATGTCATTAGCTGGGGACCCCTCCCCCCAGCACCAACTTCCGCTCTGGGCCAGCCTGAAGAGAGAGGGGGCCAGGGGACAGTTCCATCTTATCTTCTCTATAGGTCATCAGTTGGGGACCCCTACCCCCAGCATCAACTGCTGCTCTGGGCCAGAATGAAGAGAGGGGGGGCCGGGGACAGTTCCATCTTGTCTCTTGTTTATGTCACCAGCTGGGGACCCCTCTCCTCAGCACCAACTGCTGCTCTGGATCAGAGTGAGGAGAGAGGGGGCCAGGGGACAGTTCCATCTTGTCTCTTCCATATGTCATCCATTGGGGACTCCTCCCTCCAGCACCAATTGCCACTTTGGGCCAGAGTGAAGAGAGAGGGGGCCAGGGGACAGTTCCATCTTGTCTCCTGCATATGTCATCAGTTGGGGACCCCCCCCCCCCAGCACCAACTGCCGCTCTGGGCCAGAGTGAAGAGAGAGGGGGCCAGGGGACAGTTCAATCTTGTCTCCTGCATATGTCATTAGCTGGGGACCCCTCCCCCCAGCACCAACTTCCGCTCTGGGCCAGCCTGAAGAGAGAGGGGGCCAGGGGACAGTTCCATCTTATCTTCTCTATAGGTCATCAGTTGGGGACCCCTACCCCCAGCATCAACTGCTGCTCTGGGCCAGAATGAAGAGAGGGGGGGCCGGGGACAGTTCCATCTTGTCTCTTGTTTATGTCACCAGCTGGGGACCCCTCTCCTCAGCACCAACTGCTGCTCTGGATCAGAGTGAGGAGAGAGGGGGCCAGGGGACAGTTCCATCTTGTCTCTTCCATATGTCATCCATTGGGGACTCCTCCCTCCAGCACCAATTGCCACTTTGGGCCACAGTGAAGAGAGAGGGGGCCAGGGGACAGTTCCTTTTTGTTTCCTGCATATGTCATCAGTTGGGGACCCCCCCCCCCCAGCACCAACTGCTTCTCTGGGCCAGAGTGAAGAGAGAGGGGGCCAGGGGACAATTTCATCTTGTATCCTGCATATGTCATTAGCTGGGGACCCCTCCCCCCAGCACCAACTTCCGCTCTGGGCCAGCCTGAAGAGAGAGGGGGCCAGGGGACAGTTCCATCTTATCTTCTCTATAGGTCATCAGTTGGGGACCCCTACCCCCAGCATCAACTGCTGCTCTGGGCCAGAATGAAGAGAGAGGGGGCCAGGGGACAGTTCCATCTTGTCTCCTGCATATGTCATCAGTTGGGGACCCCTCCCCCCAACACTGCTGCTCTGGGCCAGAGTGAAGAGAGAGGGGATCAGGGAACAGTTCCATCTTGTCTCCTGCATATGTCATCAGTTGGGGACCCCTCCCCCCAGCACCAACTGCCGCTCTGGGCCAGAGTGAAGAGAGAGGGGGCCAGGGGACAGTTCCATCTTGTCTCCTGCATATGTCATCAGTTGGGGACCCCTCCCCTCAGCACCAACTGCTGCTCTGGGCCAGAGTTAAGAGAGAGGGGGCCAGGGGACAGTTCTATCTTATCTCCTGCATATATTACCAGCTGGGGACTCCTCCCCCCGGCACCAACTGCTTCTCTGGGCCAGAATGAAGAGAGAGGGGGCCAGGGGACAGTTCCACCTTGTCTCCTGTGCTATGCTAATAATATAATATGATATAATATAATATAATGTAATATATTGTATATACATATAATATTTATAATATTATAACGTAATGCAATATACTACTAATAATAATACTAACAATGATATTATAATTATATATTTATATTACATGTCGTATTACTATAAATATTACAATATAATGGCATAGTGCAATATAGTAATATTGAACACTGATATTGTACCATAATATATTGTATGTATATATACCTTGTAAGCTGCTCTGAGTCCCCTTTGGGGTGAGAAGGATGGCAAGTAATAAGAACAATAATCTATATAAAAAATGTAATGTTCGTTTGTGGGATTAACAGAACTCAAAAACCACTGGACAAATTGACACCAAATTTGGACACAAGACACCTAACAACCCAATGTATGTCCTTCACTCAAAAAATGATTTTGTCATTTGGGAGTTGTAGTTGCTGGGATTTATAGTTCACCTACAATCACAGAGCATTCTGAACCCCACCAATGATGGAATTGAACCAAACTTGGCACACAGTTCTCCCATGACCAACAGAAAATACTGGAAGGGTTTGGTGGGCAGTGTCCTTTGGGTTTGGAGTTGTAGTTCACCTACATCCAGAGATCACTGTGGACTCAAACAATGATGGATCTGGACCAAACTCTACACAAATACTCAATATGCCCAAATGTGAACACTGGTGGAGTTTGGGGAAAATAGAATCTTGACATTTGGGAGTTGTAGTTGCTGGGATTTATAGTTCACCTACAAAGAGCATTCTGAACCCCACTAATGATAGAATTGGGCCAAACCTCCCACACAGAACCCCCATGTGGGCCACAGCAACACGTGGCAGGGGACCGCTAGTAAATAAATAAATTTCCCCTCCCGGAGAATGCAGTCTCTGGACGTTTGTCTTCCCTTTGCTCTCCCCAACTTTGGCCGTGGCTCCTCTCTCCATTGCAGGCCTCCAGCTTTGCTCGCTGGCGCTGGGTCTGGAGGTCTCGGTGGGCAAGGTGCCCATCATCTACACCCGCAACGGCACCGACGTGCTCCTGCCCTGCACCTTCACCTCCTGCATCGGCATTGAGAGGGCCAACTTCTCCTGGTTCCGCAACCACACTGAGGTCTGTCTCCTGTTGGGTTTGGTGGTGGTGGTGGGGTGGGGGGGCTTTGGCCAAAGTCAAAGGACGTCACCTGCAGCGTTCACTGTGGCTGCGGTCACTCTGCCTGGCTGGCAAGCCAGGCAGAGTGACCGCAGCCACAGTGAACGCTGCAGGTGACGTCCTCTGACTTTGGTCTCCATCTCTTGTGGGTTTTAGTGCCAGAAAGAGGCTCCTCTGGAACTGCAATACACAAAAATGCTGAATCCTTAATTGTGACAGATGCATCCTTGCTATGGAGTTGCACCGCGGTCTTTACAGAGTCAGTTCTCTCGCCGTTTGCTAATGTTGTGGACATAGATTTGCTTGTATTTCTGGCATCGGAGCCCTGGACTTAGAAGGAAAAGCTATTTCATTGTAGCTGCTCGATTATGCAGAGGCACGGATATGCAGATTGGCTGCGATCCAAGGAAAAGCACTCTTTGTGTGGAAGCGAAAGGCAGCGGGAACGTCTGGGCCCATAACCCTACGTTGGGATTTGAAAAGGAAAAGGCAGCCGAATCAAAGCAGCAGCCATCGATGTTTACAGAGCAGCCATTGAGCTTTTCCAGCAGTAGCAGCAGCAGAGCTAACGAGCTTTATTCATCTTAAGGATCAAAGTCACACCACAAAAGTTACAAAAAGCGTTATTGAAAAGAACTGCATTTGTATATAGGAAAGTTATGGGCCTATGTATCTATCTATTGATCTTTCTCTAGCCTGGAGACCAGAACTATATGGTGGGAAACTTTAGGAAAGGAGGTGTGTCCCTGAGAGAATCAGTCTAAGAAACAGGAAATAGAAGGGAGAATCGAAAACAGATGCAGAGGATAATGGGTTGGGTGGGGTGGTGGTGGGTGGTGGGGTGGGGAGTTCTGTACAGGATCTAACCTCATTTGCCTACCTCTCACATTATCTTGTGTAGAGCCTTATTATTTTCCAGGGGTATCACGTACTTGAACCACTCCCTGAACCATTGCTAGAGGGAGGGAGGGGGCCATAGAGTTAAGGATTCCCCATCTTCGGAAGAGGAAGGGGAGCAGGGAAGTGCTCAGGAATTGGAGGGAGAAGAGGAATCAGACGATGAGGATTTGCAAGTGCCCACATTTCTAGAGAGACGAAAGGAGACAGAGCACAGACGGTATTCAGCTAGAATAGCTGCTAGAAACGCTGAGCTAATTGGGAGACACCTTAGCACCTCCTGCATGGGGAATTCAGGGCTATAATCAGATGCAGGAGCAGTCAGTTTTCGTTGGTAAGAATGACTCTGATGCTGATGTTTTCATTCCAATTGAACCTGCTTTGTGTCTGCTGTTAAAGACTTAGTCAGGCCTGTAGCCGTTGGGGGGGGGGGGGGCTTGAGGGGCTTCAGGCCCCTCCCCCAATTTTCAGGGTGTCCATGAGACGGCCTTACTGGTACATTATTTAAACTCTTATGTTTATGCATATCATGATTTGATCACCATGCTCAATATATCCCATATGCATGGGGGTATTGGGATAATGATACAAAAGGTTTGCTACTTTAGATCCTGACCCCCCCTAATCAAATTCAGCCCCCCCTCAATCAAACTCAGCCCCCCCTCCCCCGAATCAGAATCCTGGCTACGGGCCTGGACTTAGTGATCATTCCCCATTGTCTGATGGAAGACTGCTGTTTCTTTTGGGACTTTGTAAGAGACTTTAATTTGTGTCTGCATTAAAACTTCCTTGCTTTCTTTTGCATTTTTCAACTGCATTTGCTTATCCTTTGTTTTGGCTGAAGTAAAGTGTGTTTCTTTTACTTTCAACATTGTATTAAAGCTATTTTTGAAGAGCAACTCAGGACACATAGCTGCCCGTCTGCTATGCCCACCCTTGGTTTTTGTGGCCCACTGGGCCGACCCCTGACCTCTTGGTGTCTCTTGGCAGCTGATCCTCAAAGGAGTGGTGAAGAACAAGGACTCCAAGCCGGAGCCCTACCCAGAGTACAGGGAGGGGTACAAGTACATGATGCCCCCGGACATCGCCCTCAGCAAGGACAACCGGGAGTTCAACATCTCCCTCATCCTCCTCGACGCCGACTTCAGTGACTCCGGGAAGTACACCTGCCACGTGAAGAACCCTAAGGAGAAGAATGCCATGCACAATGACACCATCACCCTCAAGGTGGTCGTGGAGCGTGAGTAGACCCTGAACGGAGGAAAGCCTTCCTTGCGCAAGGCGGTACTCTCTCCCTCCTTCTGCAACAACCAAAGCCTTGCCTTGCTCTGTCTCTGAGGCCTTGCTTTTGTGGCCCTGAGTATGGAGGGGCACGAAGGCAGGTCCTCCCCACTTCAGGCTCCCCTTTGCCTCTTTCTCAACCCCTCCCCATCTCTCCCCCTCTCTTTCCCCGCAGTGGAGAAAGTGGACAAGACACTCACTATCATCATCGTCTCAGTTGTGGGCGGCGTCATCGGCCTCCTCATCCTCATCATGGTGGTGAAGAAGCTCACCCTCTTCATCCTCAAGAAGATGCGGGACAAGAAGTGAGTGTGCCTCTGAAAAGGCAGGTGTGTCTTCACCTCTCCTACCTCTGCCACCACCTCCCCACACACCCTTTTGCTCCTTGGCTCCTCTGCCCTTCTTCCTTCTCTCTGGGAGAACTGGAGAGGGAGAAGCCCCCCTCTCCATCCTCTTCCTCTCATGCCCTGGCAGCCATATCGGGGGGGGCACCCTGCCAACCTCTTCCTTCTCCTTCTCTCTCCGGGCAGGGAGTGCCTCGTGAGCTCCTCGGCCAATGACAACACGGAGAACGGTCTGGCCGGATCCAAAGGGGAACAGAAGACTCCCCGCAAGGCCTGAGGCCGCCGGACCTGTGTGGCTCCGACCGACGTCCTCCCGCCGCCGCAGGAAGCATTAGGGGCCTTGAGACTCTGGACGGAGGTGGGAAGGGACACGGGGACCACCTCCAAAGGACTGTCTGGCGTGGCTCCAGAAAGGACCCTGGACCGGAGCACTGTACCTGGTACTGCCTCTCAGATAAGACTGCTGGCACGGGGCTTGCGGCCATTCGGTGGCAGAGCTGGAGGGGGCTGTGGGTGGGTGGGCATGTTCTCAGGTGGGTCTTGGGCCAGCTTGGAACCAGGGGCAGACGTGGCAGGGAAGTGCTGCCAAAACAGGTGGGCAGGTGGGCCAGGGTGCTGCAGGGGGGGGGGGAGGCCAGGAGGCAGCACCCTCTTCCCTGCCAAACTGTTTTTTTTTTTTGTCATGTCAGGAGCGACTTGAGAAACTGCAAGTCGCTTCTGGTGTGAGAGAATTGGCCGTCTGCAAGGACGTTGCCCAGGTGACACCTGGATGATTTGATGTTTTTATCATCCTTGTGGGAGGCTTCTCTCATGTCCCCGCATGAGGAGCTGGAGCTGATAGAGGGAGCTCATCCACCTCTCCCCGGATTCAAACCTGCGACCTGTCGGTCTTCAGTCCTGCTGGCACAGGGGTTTAACCCACTGCAACACCTGTGCAGCCAAAGGTCTCTCTTCCTCCTGCTCTGGCCTCCTCCTCCTCACCAAGAATGGTTATGGGGTGATGGAGGGGAGGCCGGTGGGCTGGAGCCTGTGGGCCCCCAAAGGAAGGAAGGAAGGAAGGAAGGAAGGAAGGAAGGAAGGAAGGAAGGAAGGAAGGAAGGAAGGAAGGAAGGGAGCCCGCATATCCTGGTCCCAGGCTCCACCCTTTCTGGCTGCAAGGGCAAAGCACAGCCCCCCCCTCCACAGCCCACCCCCAAAACGGGGCAGCCCCCCGCCTCCTCCCCAAAGCCCATATGGCGGGTTCTGGGTGGGTCTTCTCTTTCTCTCTTTAGAAGCATGAGGGCTAATTATATTTTTAATATATATGTAAACAGATAGATATATATACACATAATCTCTCTATTAAAAGAAGCCAAGCCTTTTCGAACCCTGTCCCAGCGCCTCCAATCTGTCAGGGTCTCTCTCTCAGCTGTCCATTTCCTGCACCCTTTCCCATGAAAGCTGGCTGAGATGCTCCTGCCACTGCCGCTGCTGCCACTGCTGCTTTTGGGGTGCAGCGGGAGAAGCCCCCGACACCCCATAACCTCCAAGGGGCAGAGTCCCTGCCTTTTTTGGCCTTGTCCTGGCTTTCGAGGTGGCTTTAGAAGAGCCCCATCCTTCCTCTGTGCCTCAGTTTCCCCGGCCGCACGCGGGGGAGAACCATTCTGACCTACCTCAAGGGAGGGAGGGAGTGAGGAAGCTCAGTGCTTGACCCCTGCTAAGGTGTCAGTAGGCTAGGTCAGTGGGTGGGCCACGGCAGGGTGTGGACGGAGGGATGGACATGTGGGTGGACATGGAAGCCCTGCCTCAGCATCCTTCCTCCCTCTCTTGCTCTCTGGTGAGCAGCATCAGGGATGGTCCGGCTTCAGGCTGCTCCCAGCTTCGACCAGGAGGAGCTCCAGGCCAGGCCTGTGGCCAACTGCTCCCTCCGCGCATGCTCTCTCTCCCCCGGACCCTCCATCCCCACATTGTTGCATGGATGTGTGGACAGCAATAACAGCACAACCGCCGGCCAGGGCTTTGCAGAGCAGGCGGCCGGCGCATCAGGCGTATTTATCCAGCTTCCTCAGGTGAACCAATTCTCTTCAGTCCAAAGACAAGACCCTCTCCCCTTCATGCCCAGCAAGATCCCTTCCTCTTGGCCACTCCAAGCCGGGGAGGGGTGCAACGGGCAGCATTTGGCAATAAATGAGGGAGGGACCCCTCTCTGGACAGGGTCCCCTCTTGGTCTACAGCCCTAGAGAGTCCCAGGGCATTTGGGTGGGGGGCTCCCTACCCAAAGGGAAGGTGGGCATGGGCCTGGCAGGGCGATCCACATGCACTTTTTCTGTAGAGTGGGGCACCCATGGCAGGAAGAGCTTTGGGGGAGGGTCTCTCTCCCACCCACCCTTGGCGGCACTTGTGTTGCTTGGTGGGCACATTGGGTGTGCATATGCGTGTGTTTGTAGCCATGGGGAGGGGGCCCACCCTGGATCTGGGTCTGCATGTGCGCACACGGGGCAGGCCATAGCAAAGGTTGGGTACACCTGGCCAAGGCGTCACCTGGGAGACCTCTCTCTTTTTTGCACTCTTGAGCTGTAGTTGGCTTCTTTGCCTTGGATGAAATAAATAAAAAAGACTTATGTTTACTACCAAGACTTTTCTGGGCTGTTTTCCTTTCTGATCGAGGGGGGGTGACTTGATAGTGCCATATGTGCCTGTGTGTCTGCTCAAGGCTTGTCAGAACTGAGGAGGGACCTCAGCAGCTGGGCAGCTGCCCCAATTGGCCCGAGGCCCACCTCCTAGGGGGTCCTGAGGGGCCCAAGAGGGAAACGGGTCTCGGGATGCTTTAGAGCAGCATTTCTCAACCTGGGGGTCGGGACCCCTGAGGGGGTCGCGAAGGGGTGTCAGAGGGGTCGCCAAAGACCATCAGAAAACACAGTATTTTCTGATGGTCATGGGGATTCCATGTGGGAAGTTTGAACCAATTGAATAATTGGTGGAGTTCAGAATATTCTTTGATTGTAGGTGAACTATAAATCCCAGCAACTACAACTCCCAAAAGTCAAGGTCTATTTTCCCCAGGCTCCACCACTGTTCACATTTGTGCATATTGAGTATTTGTGCCAAGTTTGGTCCAGATCCACCATTGCATGAGTCCACAGTGCTCTCTGGATGTAGGTGAACTACAACTCCCAAACTCAAGGTCAATGCCCACCAAACCCTTCCAGTGTTTTCCATTGGTCATTTATTTATTTATTTATTTACTGTGCTTATAGACCGCCGTTCTCAGACCTTGGGCGACTCATGGCGGTGTACAACATGTAAAATAAGGTGCAATTACAACATATACTAACATCAATTAGCAATATCAAAAACATTATCAAACAACATCAATATCAATAATACAATTACAACAAGTCATTCGCGACATCTCATCGTTGAACCACAATCCCAATATCGTTATCCGTGTTCCGTTCCTATAGTCATTGCCAATTTTTTTTGCAGCACTTATTCAAACGCCTTCTCGAACAACCACGTCTTGAGTCTCTTGCGGAATGTCATAAGGGAGGGTGCCAGTCTGATGTCCACAGGAAGGGTGTTCAGCCGAGGGGCCACCACCGAGAAGGTCATGGGAGTTCTGGGTGGCAAATTAGGTTCAAATCCATCGCTGGTGGAGTTCGGAATGCTCTTTGATTATAGGTGAACTATAAATCCCAAAAACTACAACTCCCAAATTACAAACTCAATCCTCCCCCAACCCCACTAGCATGTACATGTGGGTGCATTGGGTATTTGTGCCCAGTTTGGTCCAGTGAATGAAAATACATCTTGCATATCTATCTGATATTTACAATATGATTTATAACAATAGTAAAATGATTGTTATGAAGTAGCAACGAAAACACTGTTATGGTTGGGGGTCACCACCACATGAGGGACTGTATGAAGGGGTCACGGCATTAGGAAGGTTGAGAACCACGGCTTCAGAGGCTGTCCCGCTTTGACCATATCCTGAGGAGAGATGCCTGGCAAGGTCGAAGGCGTGAGGAAAGGAAGGAGACTGCATTGCAGGTGGATCGAGTCAATCAGGGGAAGCCACGGATGCCCTGAGTCTGCAAAACCTGAGCCGGGCTGCAGAGGACAGGCAGGGTGACCGGGAGGCCTCTCTCTCCTTCGTGGGGGCAACCCAAGCTGAAGTTAACTAGAGGACAGTTCAGAGCAACAACATTGCGGAGATTGACATGCTTAGGAAGCTCCCTTTGGAGGGGTTTCACTTTGAGTGGAGGGGAGGCAATCTCAGCCCAAAGTTGCCATTCCATGAAACATGAAAATGAACAAGATCTGGCCACCAGTATTAAAAAAAAACAACAACTCTAAAATCATAACAGTAAATAAAGAACAACATTTAAAAAACGGGGGAACTCCAGACAAGAAACAATCAGGGACAGCTAATCACCTCTCAACAAAGGATTCCTCCAGGCAGTAAGAATTCATGCCTTGAAAACTGGGCCATTAAATGCTAATCAAGGTGGCCAAAATGGGGAACTCCAGACAAGAAACAATCAGGGACAGCTAATCACCTCTCAACAAAGGATTCCCCCAGGCAGTAAGAAGTTACGCCTTGAAAACTGATGGGCCATTAAATGCTAATCAAGGTGGCCAAAATGGGGAACTCCAGACAAGAAACAATCAGGGACAGCTAATCACCTCTCAACAAAGGATTCCTCCAGGCAGTAAGAATTCATGCCTTGAAAACTGGGCCATTAAATGCTAATCAAGGTGGCCAAAATGGGGAACTCCAGACAAGAAACAATCAGGGACAGCTAATCACCTCTCAACAAAGGATTCCCCCAGGCAGTAAGAAGTTACGCCTTGAAAACTGATGGGCCATTAAATGCTAATCAAGGTGGCCAAAATGGGGAACTCCAGACAAGAAACAATCAGGGACAGCTAATCACCTCTCAACAAAGGATTCCCCCAGGCAGTAAGAAGTCACACCTTGAAAACTGATGGGCCATTAAATGCTAATCAAGGTGGCCAAAATGGGGAACTCCAGACAAGAAACAATCAGGGACAGCTAATCACCTCTCAACAAAGGATTCCCCCAGGCAGTAAGAAGTCACGCCTTGAAAACTGATGGGCCATTAAATGCTAATCAAGGTGGCCAAAATGGGGAACTCCAGACAAGAAACAATCAGGGACAGCTAATCACCTCTCAACAAAGGATTCCCCCAGGCAGTAAGAAGCCACACCTTGAAAACTGATGGGCCATTAAATGCTAATCAAGGTGGCCAAAATGGGGAACTCCAGACAAGAAACAATCAGGGACAGCTAATCACCTCTCAACAAAGGATTCCCCCAGGCAGTAAGAAGTCACGCCTTGAAAACTGATGGGCCATTAAATGCTAATCAAGGTGGCCAAAATGGGGAACTCCAGACAAGAAACAATCAGGGACAGCTAATCACCTCTCAACAAAGGATTCCCCCAGGCAGTAAGAAGTCACGCCTTGAAAACTGATGGGCCATTAAATGCTAATCAAGGTGGCCAAAATGGGGAACTCCAGACAAGAAACAATCAGGGACAGCTAATCACCTCTCAACAAAGGATTCCCCCAGGCAGTAAGAAGTCACACCTTGAAAACTGATGGGCCATTAAATGCTAATCAAGGTGGCCAAAATGGGGAACTCCAGACAAGAAACAATCAGGGACAGCTAATCACCTCTGAACAAAGGATTCCCCCAGGCAGTAAGAAGTCACACCTTGAAAACTGATGGGCCATTAAATGCTAATCAAGGTGGCCAACTGAAACCTTCACACCTAGCTCCAACAGACAAGAGTTCTTTCTCCCACCCTGGACATTATTCCACAGATATATATGTAAACCCCATATCCCTAGCTTTATTTATTTATTTGGAAGTTTTCTATACCGGCCTTCTCACCTCAACCGAGGGACTCAGGTCGGTTTACAGCATGTATGCAATTACAAAATATACAAATACAACCGAATGCAACATCATTAAGGATTAAAACAACACAGTAAAATACAATAAAACATCATCATTACAATTACCCAGGCCAGAACGTCAATACAATCGCAGTCGTAGTCATAGTCACAGTTCATCAAAGATTCAGTCCTCAAAAGCCACATTCCAGAGCCAGGTCTTTAGTAATTTCCTGAAAGTCAGGAGGGAGGGGGCAGATCGGATCTCTAGTGGAAGGGAGTTCCAGAGCCGGGGAGCCACCACCGAAAAGGCCCTGTCTCTCGTCCCCACCAAGCGCGACTGCGAGGGTGGTGGGACCGAGAGCACGGCCCCTCCGGGAGATCTTAATAACCATGATGGTTCATAGGGGAGAATCCGTTCGGACAGGTGGACTGGGCCGGAGTCACTTTAAAGATCTCACAACACCTGAGGATGCCTGACATAGATGCAGGTGAAACGTCAGGAGAGAATGCTTCTGGAACATGGCCATACAGCTCAAAAAACTTACAGCAACCCAGTTTTACCAATCCCTCTCTGTTTGGGCAAAGGACTGGGCCTCCAAATAATAATAATAATAATAATAATAATAATAATAATTATTATTATTATTATATACTTTATTTATACCCCGCCACCATCTCCCCAAGGGACTCGGAGTGGATTACATGGGGCCAAGCCCAACAACACATCAATAAAACAAGAAAGCAATAAACAAAAACAATACATTCTTGTGGGTTTTTTCGGGCTATATGGCCATGTTCTAGAGGCATTTTCTCCTGACGTTTCGCCTGCATCTATGGCAAGCATCCTCAGAGGTAGTGAGGTCTGTTGGAATTAGGAAAATGGGTTTATATATCTGTGGAATGACCAGAGTAGGACAAAGGACTCTTGTCTGCTGGAGCTAGGTGTGAATGTTTCAACTGACCACCTTGATTAGCATTTGAAGGCCTGGCTGAGCCTGGGAAAATCTTTTGTTGAGAGGTGTTAAGATGTGCCTGGTTGTTTCCTCTCTGCTGTTTTGCTGTTGTAATTTTAGAGTTTTTTAATACTGGTAGCCAGATTTTGTTCATTTTCATGGTTTCCTCCTTTCTGTTGAAATTGTCCACCTGCTTGTGGATTTCAATGGCTTCTCTGTGTAGTCTGACATGGTGGTTGTTAGAGTGGTCCACCAAACACAGGGACCACCAAACGCAGCTTTGCCCAAACATGAATCAAGGAACATGAAAGGCACTGCAGACTACTTCAACCTGAGAAGTCAGCCATAGCAGAGCACCTGATGAACCAACCTGGACACAGCATACTATTTGAGAACACAGAAATGCTGGACCACTCTAACAACACCATGTCAGACTACACAGAGAAGCCATTGAAATCCACAAGCATGTGGACAATTTCAACAGAAAGGAGGAAGCCATGAAAATGAACAAAATCTGGCTACCAGTATTAAAAAACTCTAAAATTACAACAGCAAAACAGCAGAGAGGAAACAACCAGGCACATCTTAACACCTCTCAACAAAAGATTTTCCCAGGCTCAGCCAGGCCTTCAAATGCTAATGAAGGTGGTCAGTTGACACATTCACACCTAGCTCCAGCAGAGAAGAGCTCTTTGCCCCACCCCAGCCATTCCACAGATATATAAACCCATTGTCCTAATTCCAACAGACCTCACTACCTCTGAGGATGCTTGCCATAGATGCAGGCGAAACATCAGGAGAAAATGCCTCTAGAACATGGCACTATAGCCCGAAAAAACCCACAAGAACCTAATAATAATACTTTATTTATACCCAGCCACCATTTGGAGCCCCCGGTGGCGCAGTGGGTTAAAGCACTGAGCTGCTGAGCTTGTTGATCGAAAGGTCGCAGGTTCGATTCCGGGGAGCGGCGTGAGCTTCCGCTGTCAGCCCTAGCTTCTGCCAACCTAGCAGTTCAAAAACATGCAAATGTGAGTAGATCAATAGGTACCGCTCCGGCGGGAAGGTAACGGCACTCCATGCAGTCATGCCGGCCACATGACCTTGGAGGTGTCTATGGACAACGCTGGCTCTTTGGCTTAGAAATGGAGATGAGCACCAGAGTCCCAGAGTCAGACATGACTGGACGTAATGTCAGGGGACTACCTTTACCTTTACCTTACCATCTCCCCAAGAGATTTTGAGTGGATTACATGGGGCCAAACCCAACAATGCATCAATAAAACAAGAAAGCAATAAACAAAAACAATAGAATCATAGAATCAAAGAGTTGGAAGAGACCTCATGGGCCATCCAGTCCAACCCCATTCTGCCAAGAAGCAGGAATATTGCATTCAAATCACCCCTGACAGATGGCCATCCAGCCTCTGCTTAAAAGCTTCCAAAGAAGGAGCCTCCACCACACTCCGGGGCAGAGAGTTCCACTGCTGAACGGCTCTCACAGTCAGGAAGTTCTTCCTCATGTTCAGATGGAATCTCCTTTCTTGTAGTTTGAAGCCATTGTTCCATTGCGTCCTAGTCTCCAGGGAAGCAGAAAACAAGCTTGCTCCCTCCTCCCTATAACTTCCTCTCACATATCTATATGTGGCTATGATGTCTCCTCTCAGCCTTCTCTTCTTCAGGCTAAACATGCCCAGTTCCCTAAGCCGCTCCTCATAGGGCTTGTTTTCCAGACCCTTGATCATTTTAGTCGCCCTCCTCTGGACACATTACAATTAGTATAAATCACATATAAACAATAACACACAAAGATTTAAAAACCAAGCCCCAGACGGAACCCAGATCTTGGCACAGGGACAGACAGGGAAAGGATGGCCTTGGGTTATTCCTGGCAGAGAGGTGGGCATCCTCCAAAGACATACAAGTCATGGCCATGAGTGGGTGCCCTTCAAAGAGCCAGGAGGGCCAAGTCCTGGGAGGGCGCAGAGGAAGGCTTTGGCAAAGGCCAAGGCAGGGATGCTGCGGTCAGTGTCCAGCAGAGAACTCTTCCTTCTGGACCATCCTGTCAGGCCTTTGTTTGGGAACAACCTCAGGGGAGCCGGTGGAGCCGCTTGTCTTGCAAATGGGCCAGGAAAGAAACAGGGCACAGCTGGCAGAGTGGGAGAGTCCCAATGGAATTCAGTGTTCCGCTTGCAAATGGGTCCTGCTTTGTCTCATCGGAAAGCACAGCCTCTTGGCGAGGAACAGGACGAAATTCAGGATTCAGACTGCAACACAGAGGAGAATAGGGGTGAATGAGGGTGCCAGCAAAGCCCTCTCCCACTCCAAAGAGGGCTGCCCACTTGCCATACTGACCCCGAGGATGGTGTAGATCCAGCCGAGGTAGGCCTGCACCTTGGTGTAGATGCCGGGAGCGCCGGGGCTGCCACAGCCTCGTCCCCAGCTGACCACGCCCAGCAGGTGCCACTGCCCTTGCCACTCGTGCATCAGGGGCCCTCCACTATCTCCCTGGAACAAGAATAATACAATCCTAGAATCTTTGAGTTGGAAGAGACCTCGTGGGCCATCCAGTCCAACCCCATTCTGCCAAGAAGCAGGAAAATCGCATTCAAAGCACCCCCAACAGATGGTCACCCAGCCTTTGTTTAAAAGCTTCCAAAGAAGGAGCTTCTACCACACTCCGGGGCAGAGAGTTCCACTGCTGAACAGCTCTTACATTCAGGAAGTTCTTCCTCATGTTCAGGTGGAATCTCCTTTACTGAAATTTGAAGCCATTGTTCCATTGCGTCCTAGTCTCCAGGGAAGCGGAAAACAAGCTTGCTCCCTCCTCCCTGAGGCATCCCCTCACCTCTTGATTAATGGCCCTCATCACGTCTCCTCTCAGCCTTCTCTTCTTCAGGCTAAACATGCACAGCTCTTTCAGCCACTCCTCATAGGACTTGTTCTCCAGACCCTTAATCCTTTGAGTTGCCTTTCTTTGGACACATTCCAGCTTGTCAACATCTCCCTTCAATTGTGGTGCCCAGAAGTGGACACAGTGTGATTCCAGGTGTAGTCTGACCAAGGCAGAATAGAGCATGGGGAGCATGACTTCCCTAGATCTAGACACTAGGCTCCTCTTGATGCAGGCCAACATCCCACTGGCTTTTTTGGCTGCTGCATCACATTCCTGGCTCATGTTTAACTTGTTGCCCGCGAGGACTTCAAGATCTTTTTCACGTGTACTGCTCTCGAGCCAGGCATTGTCCCCCAGGAGGAAAAGAAGGGTTGTTGTTGACCTGTGTGCGTATGTGTGTGCTTCCCATCCCGCACCTGTCCCTCAGCCAATGACACCTCTCCACCCCAACTGGGATGAGGGGCAGAGGGATGTCTGAGCTGACTTACCTGGCAGGTGTCCGCCTTGCCCTCTGGGCGGCCTGCGCAGAGCATCCTGTCGGTCACTTCACCCTGGTAGCCCTCCGCTCTGTTGCAGGCCTCCCTGTCCATCAGCTCCACTTGCGCCTGCTGCAAACCCTTGGAAAGCTTCCCTGGGGAAGGAGTTGGGGGCTCAGTAGGGCTGGAGGGGTTTGCTCCAAGCCAACTTCCCACCTTGCTTCCTCCAGACCACCCAACAGCTGGGAAGGGATGCCTGTGACCCTGATAGGCCTCCTTCTCTGGCCTCTTTGGGGGTCCGGTCTCCATTTCTGATGCAGAGGAAAGAGCTGGGTGCCACTCTCCAAATTCCATTGCATTCCCACTGAGGAGGAGGTGACCAAAAAAAGATGGTTCTCCTCCTAACGCAAGAGACTCACCGCCCTGCTTAGTGAAGCCCCAGCCTGTGACCCACAAGGAGGTCCCTGGGACGATCTCTTCGTCAAAGAAGGGCAGGCAAATAGGCACCACTGGATCTGCAGACAGAAGGAAGGGTGGTATGGGTGGAACCTGGGTCCTAGACTGCAAACTGTGTGTTCGTGCTCCATATTGCAGCCCGTTGCATCGCCAGAGCTTTCCCCACAGTGGTCCACACTCTTGTTACATCCCGAATAGACTACTGCAACACACTCTACGTGGGGTTGCCCTTGAAGACTGTTCGGAAACTTCAACTGGTCCAGCAAGCGGCAGCCAGATTGCTCACTGGAGCGACATACAGGAAACACACCACCCCCCTGCTGTGTCAGCTCCACTGGCTGCCGGTTTAGTTCCGAGCACAGTTCAAGGTGCTGGTCTTCACCTACAAAACCCTTTACGGTTCCGGTCCAGTGTATCTGTCCGAATGTATCTCCCTCTACATCCCACCCCGGAATTTGAGATCTTCTGGGGAGGCCCTACTCTCGACCCCACCGCTATCACAAGTGAGGTTGGTGGGGACGAGGAGCAGGGCCTTCTCAGTGGTGGCCCCTCACCTGTGGAACTCACTCCCGGGGGAAATTAGGGCATCCACATCCCTCCTCTCCTTCAGGAGGAAAGTAAAGACGTGGTTGTGGGACCAGGTCTTTGGGCAATCTGACAGCTAGATATGGACAACCAGATGGATAGGACTGAAGGGACTGACAATTGTGGAATTGGAACTTGAACTATGGGATTGCGAAACACTGATCGTCGATGAGGAGAAATGTTTTGTATTGGTTTTATTGCTTTTATTGGTTTTATGGTTGTTTTTGCCTTGCAATAATTATTGTTTTCTGTTAATTGATGTTATTGCTAGAATTGCTGTTTTTCTGTTAACTGATGTTATTCGTCTTATTGCTGTTATGTGATGCGGGCATCGAATTGTGCCTTGCTTTTGTAAGCCGCCCTGAGTCCCCTCCGGGGTGAGAAGGGTGGGGTAGAAGCAACCAAAATCAATCAATCAATCAATCAATCAATCAATCAACTGGTGATGGTGCGGCCACCTTCCCTGGCCTCTTCTCTCTCCCTTACCTGGTCCACTCAGGGGCCTTTGCAGCTTGACCAGGGCGATGTCCTTGTCTTTGGGGAGTGCGTCCTGGGCCTCCATGACAAAGATCCTCTCCACGGGGACCGCTGTGGCCTTTAGGAGGGTCTCGGAGCCCCCCTTCACCTGCCACTCCTCTGTCACGGGGTGGTACCTGCGAGGACGGGCGGAAGAGGCGCACCTGTCTCCATGGGCTCCTTTTCCGTAGCCAGGGAAGGAAGGCGACACTCCTTGCAACACCACTTCTGCTGCCTGGTTGTTTTGCAAGAGATTTGGTCCCAGTTGGGCCCAAGAAGGGATGTTCCAAGGGTGAGAGAACTCACCTGAAGCAGTGTGCCGCCGTCAGGACCCAGCGAGGTGCAATGAGGCTCCCTCCACAGATGTGCTTTCCCTTGTGCTGCAGGCTGGCTTGCCAGGGCCACGACCGGATAGAAGCAGGGGCCCCACCCACGACACGCGGAGCCCCCAGAGCCAGGCCACAACCTGCACATAAGAGGCAAAGAAGTGATGGAAGAGTAGGGAACACTTACCTGAGAAGCTGGCCCCTTCCCACCTGCTGCTGCTGCTTCCTGGGCTGGGAGCTGGGCCCCCATCTCAAGTCAAGGGACTTTCAGGCTTAGAGAGGCATTGGGGGGAGCCCTGGGACCAGAGTAGCTTGGAGGGGGCTACTCAACTGCTCAGAGCCCCCAGGAGCATCAGGTCCACCACAAAGGGGGCTTCCTGTGGAGTGAATGGGAAAGAAGTGACGAGCGGAGTGCCGCAGGGTTCCGTCCTGGGCCCGGTCCTGTTCAGCATCTTAATTAATGACTTAGATGAAGGGCTAGAAGGCAGGATCATCAAGTTTGCAGACGGGACCAAATTGGGAGGGAGAGCCAAGACTCCAGAGGACAGGAGCAGGACTCAAAACGATCTTGACAGATTAGAGAGATGATGGGTCCAAACTAACAAAATGAAGTTCAATAGTGACAAATGCAAGATACTCCACTTTGGCAGGAAAAACGAAATGCAAAGATACAGAATGGGGGACAATGCCTGGCTTGAGAGCAGTACGTGTGAAAAAGATCTTGGAGTCCTCGTGGACAACAAGTTAAACATGAGCCAACAATGTGATGTGGCGGCAAAAAAAGCCAATGGGATTTTGGCCTGCATCAATAGGAGCATAGTGTCTAGATCTAGGGAAGTCATGCTCCCCATGCTCTATTCCGCTTTGGTTAGACCACACCTGGAATATTGTGTCCAATTCTGGGCACCACAATTCAAGAGAGATATTGACAAGCTGGAATGTGTCCAGAGAAAGAGGGCAACTAAAATGATCAAGGGTCTGGAGAACAAGCCCTATGAGGAGCGGCTTAAGGAGCTGGGCATGTTTAGCCTGAAGAAGAGAAGGCTGAGAGGGGATATGATAATGGCCATGTATAAATATGTGAGAGGAAGCCACAGGGAGGAGGAGGGAGCAAGCTTGTTTTCTGCTTCCCTGGAGACTAGGACGTGGAACAATGGCTTCAAACTACAAAAAAGGAGATTCCATCTGAACATGAGAAAGAACTTCCTGACTGTGAGAACCATTCAGCAGTGGAACTCTCTGCCCTGGAGTGTGGTGGAGGCTCCTTCTTTGGAGGCTTTGAAGCAGAGGCTGGATGGCCATCTGTCAGGGGTGATTTGAATGCAATATTCCTGCTTCTTGGCAGAATGGGGTTGGACTGGATGGCCCAGAGGTCTCTTCCAACTCTTTGATTCTATGATTCTATGAAAGGGCTGTACTCACTGGAGCAGGTGAGGGCCACGGCCAGGCCAGAGGGGCATCTCCTGAAAGAGAAAGGCCTCCGTGTGAGAGAAAGCCCTACATCCCACCCCTGCTGTAGGAAGTCGAAAGGAGGATGCCGAGGGGGACACCACCCTGCCAAGGGTAAAATGCCGGGGGGGGGGGGTCCTGCCTTGCCCCTCCGCCCTTCGGTGCCCTCACCTTCCGGAGTCACTCCAGCGCAGCTCTCCACCCTGTAGGGCCACATCCCGGAGGGTCACCTCCTGGTCCTCCCTTACGGCCACATCACCGAAGGAAGGGATGCTGCAAGGCAGGAGAATAAGGCAGGCTTTGGTGCTTTGGACAATAGTCTTTGAGTGGGGCTCACCACCCCATACACACCGCACTCATCTGCCCTTGCGCTTGGCTACTCTGCTGCTGAGTACTCATGCCCAGCGTGGCAAACATCTCACCACTCTATAACAGTGGATGTGGCTCTTAATGAGACAGGATGTCTATGCCCTACGTCACTGGAGAAATGATACTGTTTGGCCAGTATCGCACTACCTGATATCTGCCGGGAAGTAGCAGCCAGCTACAGGCCCGTAGCCAGGATTTTGATTCGGGAGGGGGGGGGGGCTGAGTTTGATTTGGGGGAGACTGAGGATCTGCCCTAGCAAACCTTTTGTATCATTATTTCAATACCCCCATGCCAGGCCCGTAGCCAGGATTTTGATTCGGGGGGGGGGGGGGGGTGGGTGTGAGTGAAAGAGGGTCTCCACCTAGCAAAAAAAAAACAAAAAAAAAAAAAAAAAAAAAAAAAAAAAAAAAACAAAACAAAAAAAAAAAAGTGAAAAAGACCCTAGCAAACCTTTTGTATCATTACCCCAATACCCCCATGCATATGGGATATATTGAGCATGGCGATCAGATCATGATGTGAATAAACATAACTGCTTAAATAATGTACCAGTAAGGCCTTTTGGGGCGGCTGAAGCCCCTCAAGCCCCCCCTCCCCCCGCCTACATGCCTGCCCCATGCATATGGGATATATTGTGCATAGTGATCAGATCATGATATGAATAAACATAACAGTTTAAATGATGTACCAGTAAGGCCTTCTCGCAGACCACCCTGAGAATTTCAGGGGGGCGGGGGTTGAAGCCCCTCAAGCCCCCCCCCCCCCAGCTACATGCCTGCCCCATGCATATGGGATATATTGTGCATAGTGATCAGATCATGATATGTATAAACCTAACAGCTTAAATAATGTACCAGTAAGGCCTTCTCGCGGACCACCATGAGAATTTGGGGCGGGGGGGGGGGGGGGGGGCTTGAGGGCCTCCGGCTACATGCCTGGCCAGCAATGAAAGGAGTAAGGCATTGACATCTCCAGCCCGTTCTCTGCTTGGATACCAGCCAGCATACCAACAGTTTAAATCAAGAAGTAGCTTCCTAAGAGATACTTGCAGGAACACCTCAGCAAGCAAGAGTCCAAAAGTGGCAGGCTAAAACCCTTAAACCCAGCACCTCAACCAATGGCTGATACAAAATGAGAGACTCCCTCCTGGGCACACAGAAAACTGGCGACTTGGAAGGCGCTGAACAGACTGCGCTCTGGCACCATGAGATGCAGAGCCAACCTTCAGAAATGGGGCCACAAAGTGGAGTGTGGAGAAGAGCAAACCACAGACCACTTACTGCAATGCACCCTGAGTCCTGCCAGATGCACAAGGGAGGGCCTTTTTATCGCCACACCAGAGGCACTCCCAAGGAGACGGCTACTTTAGTATCATGCCAAGTTTTTAACTTTGTTTGTGTTTTCAAACACATTCTAACTCAACTTGCTTCTGATGTGATAAATACAAATCCCTTTCCTAGGGCTCCTTTCTGCTTCCAGAGCTCTCTTCCTGGCAGAGAGATGGACAGGCCCTTGGCGGAGGGGTGTGCGCGTGTGGCGGAGATGCTGCTGCCACTGCTGCAGCACCTGGGAGCGATGCGGAGCTGCAGCAGGAGTTGCTGTCAGGCTGCCAGCTGCAGATCTGGGCTGCAGTGCGGAGGACAGGACGGGTGCCGGAGGGGGAAGGGAGAGTGGCCGTGTCCCAGGAAAGAAGAAAGGGAGGGAGGGAGGGAGGGAAGGAGGGCCGCCTTGACCTCTCTGTGGCCGGAGCAGAAGGGCAAATGGAGCAGGCACTGCAAAAGTCCAGTCCAGTGCAGCCCCAAGTGAGCAAGGGGCTCTTCTTCCTTGCTTTGAAGGAGGCAATGCTGCTTGGAGGAAAGTTCCCCTAAATCCCAGAAAAGTCTGGCTCTTGTTAGCTTTGCATCTCTGACACGCTCTGGACAGGAAAGCAGCCTTTGCCAGTGTGCGCATGAGAGCATTTGGTGCAAAAGAAAGAGACTGAGGCAGAGAACTGTTCCTGGCTCTATATAGACTGGATCTTCCTTCCTCCCTTCAATGCACAAACTGTTCACAGAAATAGCTTCTGCAGTTTTCAGGGATCCCTCTCCATCTCACTGCTTATCCCATTCAGTGGAGTTCTGTGTATTTTCAAGAAGGCTGGAAAAGCTTCTGTGTGAAATAAGAGGAAGTTCACTTCCACTGGCCCTGTTACATTCAACTCAGTGACAACTTTTGGCTTATCACAAATGTACGAAATTGAATAACCATCACTTTGTAGTTACATGTTAAGCTAGAGGCATACCCAAAATGGTAAAGGACTCCATTGCGGGTATGTTTTAAATATACTCATCGATGGAGTGCTTCAGAACAACAGAATTTTGGTGAATTTTGTTGTTGTTGTTGTTCATTTGTTCAGTCGTCTCCGACTCTTCGTGACCTCATGGACCAGCCTACGCCAGAGCTCCCTGTCGGCCGTTACCACCCCCAGCTCCCTCAAGGTCAGTCCAGTCACTTCAAGGATGCCATCCATCCATCTTGCCCTTGGTCGGCCCCTCTTCCTTTTGCCTTCCACTTTCCCCAGCATAATTGTCTTCTCTAGGCTTTCCTGTCTCCTCATGATGTGGCCAAAGGACTTCCACTTTGTCTCTAGTATCTTTCCCTCCAGTGAGCAGTCGGGCTTTATTTCCTGGAGGATGGACTGGTTGGATCTTCTCGCAGTCCAAGGCACTCTCAGCACTTTCCTCCAGCACCACAGCTCAAAAGCATCGATCTTCCTTCGCTCAGCCTTCCCTAAGGTCCAGCTCTCACATCCGTAGGTTACTACAGGGAATACCATGGCTTTGACTAGGCAATGGATCTTGGTTGGTGAATTTTAAAGTGTATAAAATATGGTCTTTGTGAATAATTAATAGAATGATCACAAAATCCCCATGGTTTTTGTAAAAACAGCTTTGCTTTAGAAATTCCTTTTGCTTACATTTTCTCACACTAGAGGACTTTGCTAATTTCCCCCCTAACATGGTATGCTTAAGGATAGTGGGGAAATTGCATTGTATTTCAATAATTAATCAGTTTATTTGTAATTCCTGAACTTATGCAAACAGAAATATATATCTAATTTGAGCATGTTTTTATGGTGTTGGCATCATATGGTGCTTCTGTGAGGCCGCCCTGAGTCCCCCCTCGGGGGTGAGAAGGGCGGGGTATGAATATAGGAAATAAATAAATAAATAAATAAATAAATAATACAGGAAATGTCCACTGCAGACCCTCCCCAGCCCAGAAAAAGGTCCATAAACGCCCCCTCCTCAGGACCCTTTAGGTCAGTGTTTCTCAACTTGGGGGTTGGGACCCCTGGGAGGGGGGGTCGCAAGGGGGGTGTCAGAGAGGTCACCAAAGACCATCAAAAATAGTATTTTCCATTGGTCATGGCGGACATTCCTGGCTCCATCTACAGGAAATATCCTCTGCAGACCCTCCCAGCCCCAGAAAAGGTCCATAAACACCCCCTCCTCAGGACCCTTTAGGCCAGTGTTTCTCAACTTGGGGGTCGGGACCCCTGGGGGGGGTCACAAGGGGGGTGTCAGAGGGGTCACCAAAGACCATCAAAAACAGTATTTTCCATTGGTCATGGGGGACATTCCTGGCTCTATCGACAGGAAATATCCGCTGCAGACCCTCCCCAGCCCCAGAAAAAGGCCCATAAACGCCCCCTCCCCAGAACCCATTAGGTCAGTGTTTCTCAACTTGGGGTCAGGACCCCTGGGGGGCTTGCAAGGGGGGTGTCAAAGGGGTCGCCAAAGACCATCAGATAACACACAATTTTCTGTTAGTCCTGTGGATTCTGTGTGGGAAGTTTGGCCCAATTTTGTTGTTGGTGGGGTTCAGAATGCTCTTTGATTCTGGATGAACTATAAATCCCAGCAACTACAATTCCCAAATGTCAAGGCCTATTTTCCTCATGCTCCACCAGTGCTCGCATTTGGGCATAGTGAGTAGTCGTGCCAAGTATGGTCCAGATCCATCATTGTCAGTGCTCTCTGTATATAGATGAACTACAACTCCAAAACTCAAGATCAATGCCCACCAAACCCTTCCAGTATTTTCTGTTGCTCATGGGAGTTCTCTGTGCCAAGAGAGGTTCGATTCCATCGTTGATGGAGTTCAGAACGCTCTTTGATTGTTTGTTGTTGTTGTTCATTCGTTCAGTCGTCTCCGACTCTTCGTGACCTCATGGATCAGCCCACACCAGAGCTCCCTGTCGGCCGTCACCACCCCCAGCTCCTTCAAGGTCAGTCCAGTCACTTCAAGGATGCCATCCATCTATCTTGCCCTTGGTCGGCCCCTCTTCCTTTTACCTTCCACTTTCCCCAGCATAATTGTCTTCTCTAGGCTTTGCTTTGATTGTAGGTGAACTATAAATCCCAGCAATTACAACTCCCAAATGACAAAATCAACACCACCCCCTCAACCCCACTAGTTTCCAAATGTGGGCGTATTGGGTATTTGTTCCAGTGAATGAAAATACATCCTGCATATCAGATGTTTATATGATGATTCATAACAGGAGCAAAACGACAGTTGTGAAGTAGCAACGAAAATAATGTTATGGTTGGGGGTCACCACAACATGAGAAACTATTAAGGGGTCGTGGCATTAGGAAGGTTGGGAACTATTGCTTGAGGCAAGAGGCGTGTTGCAGAGTGGGGGATCCCCTCTTTAGGCTCAGCTGCAAAGCAAAGCAACCCCCCCCCCCCCGCCCATGGCTTCCCTTCCCTCTCTCCATCCATCCATCCATCCATGCCTACCTGCTGTATCCCATCTGGGCGCAGGCAGCCTGGGCCATGGTTGCGTCAAAGCCGTGGCGGCAGGCCCAGGCCCAGGCCCCACTCTCCTGGCTCCGCACCTGAAGGCCGGACCCTTCCTGGGCGAGGCGCACTGTGGGCAGAGCAGCAGGTGCAGGAGGGCCATTGGAACCCCATTGCTAGGTCCTGGCCTCCCTGCTCCCTCCCCGAGGTCCCCCTGGCACAAGACCCACTCACCTCCTGGGGGGCTTCCCTCTGGCACCGGCTCCACGCAGACCCCTTCATCTTCCCCCCAGGTGCAGTCAGCCTGCCCGTCACACAGGAGGGACAGGGGCACGAAGTGGAAGCTCTGGCTGCAGAAGAAGTAGTAGGACCCCAGGGCTGCCTTGACTGGAGAAAGAAGAGAAGGAGAAAGAGAGTCACGGGGTTCAAGAGATGCTCCAGTGAGAAATGGTTAAAGGAGTTCTCTGTCTTACACCACACTAGGGGAGATCATCAGAAAACTATAACTGACAAACCATCAGGCAGTACTGACTGATTTTGCTATGCCTTATTGTGCATTCCCCTCTTCCACCAAAGAGATGCCACACATGCATAGACATGCAACTCTGGCATAGACACTGAGAACTGGGAAGCCCTGGCCCTTGAGCGCTCCAGCTGGAGGTCAGCTGTGACCAGCAGTGCTGCAGAATTTGAAGAGGCACGAATGGAGGGCAAAAGAGAGAAACGCGCCAAGAGGAAGGCACAAGACCGCCTTCCACCTGGAAACCAATGCCCTCACTGCGGGAGAAGATGCAGATCAAGAATTGGGCTCCGCAGTCACCTATGGACCCACCAGAACACTGATCCTGGAAGACTATCCTACTCAACCAACGAGGGATCACCTAAGTAAGTAAGTAAGTAAGAAAGCCATACATGCCATTGATAGCTTCAATAAATCAAAGCATTGCCAAGCTATGTGAATTGTTTTTCCTCTATCTCCCAATAGAAAGGGCCGGGCTTTAGCACAGCAGGTTAATCACCCAGATGTGATAAATCTTGCCAACCAGAAGGCGGAGAGTTCAAAGCCTGGGTCAGGGTGAGCTCCTAACGTTTAGCCCAGCTTCTGCCTACCTAGCAGTTTGATGGGAGTAGATAAATAGGAATGGCATTAAAGTATTTCGGCTCAGCATTTCAAAGTTTACAGACAAAGAAAGCTCTTTGGCAGGAAGATGGAACGACAGCTCCCCCGGTGGCCGGAACCGAGCACTGCTTCCGAAGATACCGAAAGATGGAAAAGCCTACATATCTAGGGCTGTCCAAACACAGAAAAATTTGTTTCTAAACTCGATTAGTTTTTAGGGGTTTTTTGCGTTTCGTTATTTAAAAGAATTCCGAAATTTTCCTTTAAAAAAGTTCGATATTTACGAAATTTCGGAAATCATAAAACAATTACGAAACAATTACGAATCAATTACGAATCGATTCGTTAATGGCGGCCGCGATCGCGCAATACGCTAAAAAATCTTGTGAAGCTTCCCTCTCCCTCTGTTGTTGACTGTTGGTGTGATAATTATATTTTTTTTCACTGAGAAAACAAACAGCAACCCTAAAACTTGCACCAGACATGCGGAAAAAATAACGAAACATTTACGAATCAATAACGAAACGAATTGGAAAAATTCGTTTCATTTTTTAGTTGCTCCTGAATGGTTCAATATCGCTTCGTTATAAAAAAAATAACGAATTTTTAACGAATTACGAAATTACGAAACGAAACCGGCCAGCGCTAATATATACATCTGTTGTCTGTCTTGTCATTGTTATACAATAGGAATGGGTTCCTGAGTTAGTAAGCTCAACAAATATCCCACTTATACAGAAATCGAAGAGATCACGTGGGTTCGTACACAGTGATGCGGTCATGCAGGTAGGCAGGTCCCAAACCATTTAGGGCTTTGTAGGTAAGAACCTGCACCTTGAATTGGGACCGGAAAATAAATGGCAGCCAATGGAGCTCCTTGAACAGGAGGGTTGACCTCTCCCTGTAAGGAGCACCAGTTAACAACCTGGCCGCCGCTCGTTGAACCAATTGAAATTTCCAGGCCGTTTTCAAGGGCAGCCCCACGTAGAGTGCATTACAGTAGTCCAATCTGAAGGTGACTAAGGCATGGACCACCCTGGCCAGATCCACCTTCACGAGGTACAGTTGCAGTTGGCGCACAAGTCTCAATTGTGCAAAGGCCCTCCCGGCCACTGCCGACACCTGAGCTTCAAGCGTCAGTGATGCATCCAGAAGGACACCCAGACTGTGGACCTGTGACTTCAGGGGGAGTGCAACCCCGTCCAGCACAGGTTGCCACCCTATATCCCGATCTGGTTTACAATCAACCAGGAGGACCTCTGTCTTGTCGGGATTGATCCTCAGCTTGTTCCTCCTCATCCAGAAAGCCACAGCAGCCAGGCACTCGTCCAGCACTCGAGGGGCTTCCTTGGAGTTAGGTGGAAAAGAGTAGTAGAGTTGTGTATCATCTGCATAGAGATGGCACCCAACTCCAAAACTCCGGATGACCTCTCCCAGCAGTTTCATGTAGATGTTAAAGCATGGGAGACAGAATAGAGCCTTGCGGGACCCCACAGGTCAAAGGCCAGGGGTCCGAGCAGGCATCTCCCAGCTTCACCATCTGGGATCGACCCTCCAGGAAGGACCGGAGCCACGACAACCGTGCCCCCAAGACCCATCCCAGAGAGTCGTCCCAGAAGGATACCATGATCGATGGTATCGAAAGCCGCTGAGATGTCCAAGAGAACCAACAGGGTCACACTCGCCCTGTCCAGCTCCCTATGGAGGTCATCCACCAAGGCAACCAAAGCCGTCTCGGTGCCGTGACCAGGTCTGAAGCCAGACTGTGACTGGTCCAGGTAAATGATGTCATCCAGGAAGCCCTGGAGCCGAGAGGCGACCACCTGTTCCAACACCTTGCCCAAAAAAGGGAGGTTGGAGATTTGTCTATAGTTGTTCAAGACCATTTACGTCTGCTGCTGAGAGGTGATGATAAAGATGATGATCACAATGTATTGTGACCAAAAGGCATAGTGGATAATAAAGAAAATCATCATTATTATATTTATTATTATTATTATTATTCCAGGAGGGGCTCTTACTGAGGAAGCCGAGCGCCAGGAGGGCAGCGAAGCCGAAGACGGATACCGCCACAGGGATGCCAAAGCGTACCAAAGCGTGCCAAGTTGAGAGGGTCTCGTGCACACATTCTGCATCTGCAAAGACAATGGGGGTGTTTGAGTTGTATCAGGAGGGGGGATCCTTCTGCACCCCTCTGGGCTTTGTCTGGGCCCTTTTGGCATAAATGTTGAGTTGGGTTGTTGTAGGTTGTTCAGGCCATATGGACATGTTCTAGAAGCATTCTCTCCTGATGTTTCACCTGCATCTATGGCAAGCATCCTCAGAGGTTGTGAGCCTCAGGTCCTCTCCTTTTTCCTTTCCGCTTAAGTGGCTGAGGGGAAAAAGGAAAGGGCCTGAGGCTCACAACCTCTGAGGATGCTTGCCATAGATGCATGTGAAACGTCAGGAGAGAATGCTTCTAGAACATGTCCATATAGCCCGAAAACCCTACAACAACTCCCATGAAAGCCTCCGACAATACAATGTTGAGTTTGATGATGCAGGCAGAGGGGCAGGAAAAGTGCACACTTGGGAAGGGTGCAGGCTTCTCGTTTTGCTCTCTTCGGGAGGGACGGGGGCTTTCTGAGCTTGAGATTGAAGATGGCAGTGCAGCTGGAGCCACATCTCTTTCACTCCCTAATCTTCTGAGCAGCACAATTGCCACTTCATCACACTCGAGAATGAATCCACTTTAAATCCAGTTTCTGCCTCCTGCAGAATTCTGTGGTTTGTGGTTTATGGGAGCTGTTAAAGGCTCCTCCTTAAATGACAAATTCCAGAATTCTGGGGTTTAAAGTAGATTCATTCTTGTGTGATGATAACAGACTGATAAGTTATTCCTAAGTCACTCTTATCTCAGAGGAGTTTTGAACTTAACCAGCTTCCTGGGGTTTGTTGTGGTTCAAAACACCTGCAGGGCCAAAGCTGGTGGGCCTCTGCTCGAGTGCCAGAGCCAGAATTGGGAGCAGATGGGGTGCCCGAAGGAGGGCGTGCTTTAGTCCATGGGGAGGCAAACCCTGGGATGCCCACTTGGGGGGCTTGAGCTGCAGCAGGGTTCTTCGGGGCTCCTCCTTACCTTTGTGTTTGCAGGGCTGCTCTGGGTCCTTCTCCTGGAAAGGCAAGCAAAGAGTTACCTCTGAAACTGGTCCACTCTCCCCACACATTCCCTCCCAGAACAAGGAGTGATGGCCAGACTGAGGCCCAACATATGTAGACTGATTCCATCAGTGTTGCCTCTGAAAAATCCTGCAAATCTCCTGGGAAGACAAGCGGACAAATGTCAGCGTGGTGGAAGAAGCAAAGACCACCAGCATTGAAGCGATGGTCCTCTGCCATCAACTCCGCTGGATCAGCCATGTTGTCCGGATGCCCGATCACCGTCTCCCAAAACAGTTGCTCTACTCCGAACTCAAGAACAGAAAATGGAATGTTGGTGGACAGGAAAAGAGATTTAAAGATGGGCTTAAAAATTCTGGGAAGCCCTGGCCCTTGAGCGCTCCAACTGGAGGTCAGCTGTGACCAGCAGTGCTGCAGAATTTGAAGAGGCACGAATGGAAGGTGAAAGAGAGAAATGTGCCAAGAGGAAGGCGCGTCAAGCCAACTCCGACCGAGACCGCCTTCCACCTGGAAACCAATGATGCAGATCAAGAATAGAGCTCCACAGTCACCTACGGACCCACCACCAGGACACTGATCTTGGAAGACCATCCTACTCAGACACTGAGGGATCGTCTAAGTAAGTATATGTGGGGTCTGGGGTCTAGGCTGCAGGAGATCTGCAGAGCAGAGCAGGTTTTCTTCAATGTTAGAATCCTAGAATCCTAGAAGACACCAGGTGGGCCATCCAGTCCAATTCCATTTTGCCAAGAAGCAGGAAAATTGCATTCAAAGCACCCCAAACAGATGGCCATCCAGCCTGTGCTTAAGAGCCTCCAAAGAAGGAGCCTCCACCACACTCCGGGGCAGAGAGAGAGTTCCACTGCTGAACAGCTCTCACAGTCAGGAAGTTCTTCCTAATGTTCAGGTGGAATCTCCTTTCCTGTAGTTTGAAGCCAAGAAAGTCAAAGCATAGTCAAAGGAAGGGTATTCCCCGTAGTAACCCATGGATGTGAGAGCTGGACCATAAGGAAGGCTGAGCGAAGGAAGAGAGATACTTTTGAAATGTGGTGTTGGAGGAAAGTTCTGAGAGTGCCTTGGACTGCGAGAAGAACCAACCAGTCCATACTTCAGGAAATAAAGCCTGGCTGCTCATTGGAGGGAAGGCTAGTAGAGGCCAAGATGAAATACTTTGGCCACATCATGAGAAGAAAGGAAAGCTTAGAGAAGAGAATGATGCTGGGGACAATGGAAGGAAAAAGGAAGAGGGGTGACCAAGGGCAAGGCGGGTGGATGGTATCCTTGAAGTGACTGGCTTGACCTTGAAGGACCTGGGGGTGGTGACGGCCAACAGGGAGCTCTAGCCTGGGATGGTCCAGGAGGTCACTAAGAGTCAGAAGTGACTGAACGAATGAACAACAACAGTTTGAAGCCATCACTCTGCATCCTAGTGGCTTCAAACAACAAGAAAGGAGATGGTTGCCATTGTTGTTGTGCCTTCAAGGTGTTCCCAACGTATTCTGAACCCATTACTGTGTGTGTATTCTTGGCCAACTTTTCCCGTCAGAGGAAGAGAAGGAGGAGGAAGAAGGGGAGACTCTGGAGGGAAGCATCTCCAAGGGATGCAGGCTGCTAGGAGACACCGTCAACACACCTGAAGCCTGGCATCCCAAGGATCAGGAAGGTAGGTCTCCCTCTGGCCTGCCCTTGCCAGAGCCACTCTCAGCTCTCCTATGCAGCTGGGCACCAGAGACTTGTGGTTGCCATGGTCCATCCGCTGGCCACTTGAGCATCTCTTGGGTCCAGGAGTGGGAATCTTTCCCACCATAGGCCCAGCTTGGATTCCATAATGGCAGGTAAGGGCAAGGGGTGGAGGCATTTGCTTTGGGAGCAAAGAGTCAAGCATCCTGTTGACTCTTTGGACCAGGCATGGGCAAACTTGAGCCTTCCAGGTGTTTTGGACTCCAACTCCCACCATTCCTAACAGCCTACAGGCCCTTTCCTTTTCCCCCTCAGCCGCTTAAGCGGCTGGAGGGGAAAAGGAAAGGGCCTGAGGTAGGCTGTTAGGAATGGTGGGAGTTGGAGTCCAAAACACCTGGAAGGCTCAAGCTTGCTCAAGCCTGCTTTGGACTCAGCTCTTTCCATTTCCACCCAATCCTCTGCTGCCCTCTGCTGGCTCAGTTGAGGGTTGCAGGACCAACAGCGTTGGAGAAGAGCTCACCTGGGTGGGAGGGGATGGGAGGGGAGGGGAGGGGGAGTGTCTCAGCAGTTCCCCCCCGTCTTTCCGTCAACCCCCTGCCCCCTTTGGGTGCCCCTTTTGGGACCCAGACCATTGGGAGGGTCCCCCAAAGAGCACCTATTCCCTCCCCCGGGGGGGAAGGCGGATTGGGGGGCTTACCATCTGGGCGGGGGTCTCTGGGGCTCCCTCTTCGCTCGCTCACCTTGTCTGGACGGGACTGAGGAGCGGAGGGTCGGATCCGGAGCCCCACCTGTCTGTCTGTCTGTCTTTTCTGTCCCTCGACGCCGCCCTCGCGCGCCCTCCGCCTGAGTCACCTGTGTGGGAAGTGGGGGGGGGGGGGGGAGGAGGGGAAGCAAGGGAGTTGATGGGGCCCACTGGGCTGGAGAAGAGACGGAGGGAGGGAGGAGGAAGAAGGAAAGGAAGGAAAGGAGAAGAGAAGGAAATGAAGGAAGGAAAGAGAGGGAGAAAAAAGGAAGGAGGAAGAAAGGAAGAGAGGGAGAGAAAGAAAGAAAGGAAGGAAAGGAGGGAAAGAAAAGAAGGAAGAAAGAAGAGAGAGAAAGAGAAAGAAAGGAAGGAAGGAGAAAAGAAGGGGGAGAAAGGAAAGAAAAAGAAAGAAAGGAAAGAAGGGAGAGAAGAGAAAGGAAGGAAGGAAGGAGGGAGGAAGGAAGGAAGGAAAGAAGAAGGAAGGAAAAGAGAGAGAGAAGGAAGAAGGAAGAGAAGGAGAGAGAAAGAAAGAAGAAAGAAAAGAAGGAAAAAAGGAAAAAAGAAGGAAAGAGAGAGAGAGAGAAAAGGAAAGGAAAAAGGAAAGAAGGGAGAAAGAGAAAGGAAGGAAGGAAGAAAGAAGAAAGGACGAGAGAAAGAAAAAGAAAGGAAGAAAGGAAAGAAGAGTGAGAGAAAGGAAAGAAGGGAAGAAGGAAGAGGAAGGAAGAAAGAAAGGAAGCAAGGAAGGGAGAGAGAAAGGAAGGAAGGAAGGAAGGAAGGAAGGGAGAGAGAGCGAGACAAAGGAAGGAAGGGAGGCAGTGAAAGAAAGAGAAAGGAAGGAAGGAAGAAAGGAAGAAAGGGAGAGAAAGGAAGTAAAGAATAAAGGAAGAAGAGAGAGAAAGAAAGAGAAAGAAATGAAGGAAGGAAGAAAGAAAAGAAGAGTGAGAGAGAGAAAGGAAGGAAGGGCTGATCTGAGGAGCAAAGAGAAGGACTCTCCCCCGTCAATCACAGAATCATAGTTGGAAGGAACCTCTAAAAGCTATCTAGTCCAACTCCCTCCTGCCTTCAGGAAAAGCACAACCAAAGCACCCCCGTCAGATGGCCATCCGGCCTCTGTTTCAAAGCCTCCAGAGAAGGAAAACACAAAGCCAGTGGGTTGTCCCTTGTTTTGCTGGGGAGTGGGTTGCAGGGTGGTGGGTTGGAAGGGCCCCCCTCCAGCCAATGCATACTTTCCCCTCTTCCTTCTCTTCCTCCTCTTCCTCCTGCAGGTGGGGAGCCCCTCAGCGCCTTGGGCCTGATCCTGGGCACCTGCCTCTCCCTCCTGGTGCTGGGCCTGTCTGGCTGGGTCTTTGCCAAGTGGTGCCGGGAGGGGCGCTGCTGGCCCAGTAAGTAGAGACCCCCCCTCCCCTTGGGCTCCCCTTGGGCTCCCCTTGGGCTCCCTTGCAAGGAGACCCCAGGAAAGTCCCCCTGCGCTCCCCACTGCTCCTGATGCTTAGGCCTCCCCTCTTTTCTCTTCCAGGCACCAGCCTTGTCTTCAACCTCTACCACATCCGGTAGGTGCCCCTTCCTGCAGGGCAAGGGACCCCTCGGGCCACATTCCACGCTGTCACACGCTTATACATCATGCCAGCATTTCCTCATTGGTTCTATCATGAAAACATGGGGTGGGGGAGTTTATGAAACATCCTGCAAAACGTGTGTCTCTAGTCTAGTAGTTCTCAACCTGGGGTTCAGGACCCCTGGGGGGTCCACGAGGGGGTTTCAGAGGGGTCACCAAAGACCATCCAGAAACGTATTTTCTGTTGGTCATAGGCGTTCCATGTGGGAAGTTTGGCCCAGTTCTATCATTGGTAGGGATCAGAATGATCTTTTATTGTAGGCGAACTATAAATCCCAGCAACTAAAACTCTCAAATGCAAGGTCTATTTTCCCCAAACTCCACCAGTGTTCATTCACATTGGGCATGTTGAGTATTCATGGCAAGTTTGGTCCAGATCCATCATTGTTTGAGTCCACAGTGCTCTCTGGATGTAGGTGAACTACAACTCCAAAACTCAAGGTCAATGCCCACCAAACCCTTCCAGTATTTTCTGTTGGTCACGGGAGTTCTGTGTGCCAAGATTGGTCCAATTCCATCATTGGTGGAGTTCAGAATGCTCCATCATTGTTTAAGTCCACAGTGCTCTCTGGATGTAGGTGAACTACAACTCCAAAACTCAAGGTCAATGCCCACCAAACCCTCCCAGTATTTTCTGTTGGTAATAGGAGTTCTGTGTGGCAAGATTGGTTCAATTCCATCATTGGTGGAGTTCAGAATGCTCCATCATTGTTGAAGTCCACAGTGCTATCTGGACGTAGGAGAACTACAAATCCCAAACTCAAGGTCAATGCCCACCAAACCCTTCCAGTATTTTCTGTTAGTCACAGGAGTTCGGTGTGCCAAGATTGGTCCAATTCCATCATTGGTGGAGTTCAGAATGCTCCATAATTGTTGAAGTCCACGTTGCTCTCTGAATGTAGGTGAACTACAACTCCAAAACTCAAGGTCAATGCCCACCCAACCCTTTCAGTATTTTCTGTTGGTCACGGGAGTTCTGTGTGCCAAGTTTGGTCCAATTCCATCATTGGTAGAGTTCAGAATGCTCCATCATTGTTTAAGTCCACAGTGCTTTCTGGATGTAGGTGAACTACAACTCCCAAACTCAAGGTCAATGCCCACCAAAACCTTGCAGTATTTTCTGTTAGTCATGGGAGTTCTGTGTGCCAAGTTTGGTCCAATTCCATCATTGGTGGAGTTCAGTGTTCAATCACATAGGGCATGTTGAGTATTCATGGCAAGTTTGGTCCAGATCCTTCCTTGTTTGAGTCCACAGTGCTCTCTGGATGTAGGTGAACTACAACTCCAAAACTCAAGGTCAATGCCCACCAAACCCTTCCAGTATTTCTGTTGGTCATGGGAGTTCTGTGTGCCAAGTTTGGTTCAATTCCATTGGTGGGGTTCAGAATGATCTTTTATTGTAGGTGAACTATAAATCCCAGCAACTAAAACTCTCAAATGCAAGGTCTATTTTCCCCAAACTCCACCAGTGTTCATTCACATTGGGCATGTTGAGTATTCATGGCAAGTTTGGTCCAGATCCATCATTGTTTGAGTCCACAGTGCTCTCTGGATGTAGGTGAACTACAACTCCAAAACTCAAGGTCAATGCCCACCAAACCCTTCCAGTATTTTCTGTTGGTCATGGGAGTTCTGTGTGGCAAGTTTGGTTCAATTCCATTGTTGGAGTTCATAATGCTCTTTGATTGTAGGTAAACTATAAATCCCAGCAACTACAACTCCCAAATGACAACGTCAATCCCCTGCCGACTCCACCAGTATTCAAATTGGGGCATATCACGTATTTGTGCCACTCCTCTAGCCTTTCTGTGAATCTCTCCACCGTAGAGTCACCACCAGTTCAACATAGTTTGTGGCGCCACAAAACAACAAAGTTTTTGGAGAATAGCCTCCTCTTTCAAAGTAAGGGCCGCGCCATCAGACAGGAAAGATCACTTTCAAACCAGGAACAGAACATTGTGTTCCGTGGTGTGATCTCTTGGGCCAAGAGGAACGAGGAAGGGGATGGATCACGATGGGCTGGGGAAGGGAGAGACGGGCAGGGCCTTCGTGGGGACACTGAGTTGATCCCTCACTTCCATTTCCTTCCCTTCCTTCTGTGGGTCCCCATTACGGAGTCCTCCTGGGAGTTATAGTTTCCCAAGGTCCATACCCTTTTCTGGGTGCATCTATAGCACTGCTTCTCAACCTTCCTCATGCCGCAACCCCTTAGTACAGTTCCTCATGTTGTGGTGACCCCCAACCACAGCATTATTTTTGTTGCTACTTCACAACTGTAGTTTTGCTCCTATTGTGAATCGTCATGTAAATATCTGATATGCAGGATGGATTTTCATTCACTGGACCAAATTTGGCACAAATACTCAATACACTCACATTTGAACACTAGTGAGCTTTGGGAGGGGAGTTGTAGTTTCTGGGATTTATAGTTCACCTACAATCCAAGAGCATTCTGGACTCAAACAATGATGGAGCATTCTGAACTCCACCAATGATGGAATTGGACCAAACTTGGCACACAGAACTCCCATGACCGACAGAAAATACTGGGAGGGTTTGGTGGGCATTGACCTTGAGTTTGGAAGTTGTAGTTCACCTACATCCAGAGAGCACTGTGGACTTAAACAATGATGGAGCATTCTGAACTCCACCAATGATGGAATTGGACCAAACTTGCCACACAGAACTCCCATAACCAACAGAAAATACTGGAAGGGTTTGGTGGGCATTTACCTTGATTTTGGGAGCTGTAGTTCACCTCCATCCAAAGAGCACTGAGGGCTCAAGCAATGATGGATCTGAACCAAACTTGGCATGAATACTCAATATGTCCCAAATGTGAACACTGGTGGAATTTGGGGAAAATAGACCTTGACATTTGGGAGTTGTAGTTGCTGGGATTTATAGTTCACCTACAATCAAAGAGTACTCTGAATGATAGAATTGGACCAAACTTCCCACACAGAACTCCCATGACCAACAGTGTTTTTCTATGGTGTTTGGCGGCCCCTCTGACACCCCCTCACAACCCTCCCCCAGGGGTCCTGACTCTCAGGTTGAGAAACACTGATCTACACTGTGGAATGAATATAGTTAAACCTTATTTTAAATGCCATCTCCATGAGATGGCCTTGGGAACTGCAGTTTCCCAAGGTACATGAACCTTCTCCCAGTGCAGCTACACTATGCAGTTCTGGGAGTTATAGTTTTCCAAGGTCCACACCCTTCTCTGTGGGGCGGCCCAGAGAGAGTGGTGGTGGTGGGGAATGCATTTCCACTTTCCTTCCCTCCCTCCCTGCTTCCTTGTTCCTCGAATTGAAGAGACATAACAGCTGGCATTTCAAAGAAAGCAGGTTTCTTTCTCCACAAAGAACACGGGGAGGGATGGTGGGCAGTGCTCAGCGATTACAATGTGATGACAAATCTACTGAAAGAATGCTGAGTGCAACTGAGTAACACAGATACATTTAACAGTGTGATGAAGGTAGCGAAATCATCCGTTTCATTTCCAAACTGAGTACAACTAAGCCCTATTCTACCAGACACTTCCATGCCTCAATGTGATGAAGCCCCAAGTTTGCCCACATCTGCTCTACAAGATATTCAATTATTGAGAAACTGGAGCCAAATGTGCTATGGCAGCATGATGCAAAGACAAAGTTTGTGCAGTGTCATAAACTTGTCCCATGTGTTTAGGACAGAACCAATTAGGAAATGATATTGTCATAGATGCAGGCGAAACATCAGGAGAGAATGCTTCTAGAAGATGGCCATATAGCCCAAAAAACCTACAGCGACCCAAAAATAAAGTTATTATTCTTATTAAGGTCTGACTTCTTACTGCCTGGGGGAATACTTTGTTGGGAGGTGTTAGCTGGCCCTGATTGATTATTGTCTGGAATTTCCTTGTTTTTGAGTGTTGCTCTTTATTTACTGCCCTGATTTTAGAGTCCTTTAAATACCGCTAGCCAGATTTTGTTCATTTTCATGGTTTCCTCCTTTCTGTTGAGATTGTCCACATGCTTCTTGTGGATTTCGATGCCTTCCCTGTATAGTCTGACATGATAGTTGTCAGAGTGGTCCAGCATTTCTGTGTCCTCAAGTAATTTTACACTTGATTGGAGTGTAAAACTACAAGAGAGGAGATGCCATCTGAACATGAGGAAGAACTTCCTGACTGTGAGAGCCGTTCAGCAGTGGAACTCTCTGCCCCGGAGTGTGGCGGAGGCTCCTTCTTTGGAAGCTTTGAAACAGAGGCTGGATGGCCCTCTGTCAGGGGTGATTTGAATGCAATATTCCTGCTTCTTGGCAGAATGGGGTTGGACTGGATGGCCCATGAGGTCTCTTCCAACTTTTGGGTTCTATGATTCTATGACGTATTCAGTGGGATAAAGTCATATTAATCTCTGACTCTGTCCCTGCAGCAACTTGCGGTCTGTGGAAGAGGAGCCGGGCCTTTTCACCATCAGTGGCTCCGTGGGTGAAGGCTGTAGCGGTGCCGGAAGCGACACACACTTTCACGGCAGAGGGGACTGAGCCCAAGGGCATTCTGGACCCAAATGCCTTGGCCACCACCTTCTCCAAGGGCTGCTTTGAGGGCCACTGCATCTGTGCTGGGCTCCTCTCATTGAGGCAAGGGGACTGGGCAGCTGCCAGGCCAGAGAGGCACAAGCAAGAGGCCTTCAGTAAAAGGGCGCCCCATGCAGACATGCCGAGATGTCTACAGATAACAGGCTCTTCAGTATGGAAAAATGGAACAAGAGCACCTCCCCATGGCCGGAGTTGAGCATTGTACAGGGTTAGTCAAAATGAATAGGCCAATAAGAAAATTAATTTTAGACGAATGTATGTTTACTGTAACCAAACCACAGCTACGTAGCGACAGATAAACTATCAAAGTTTTTTTTGAGCAACACACATGTACGTTAATGCCGCTAGGCGTCGCTAGGGGTCGCTGTTTTCAAAATGGCGGAATCAAGCAAAGAGAAGGCGTTTTGTGTGATGACATTTGCTAAAACAATGTCAGTAATTACGGTCCAGCGAGAATTTCAAGGGTTAGGGTTAGGGTTAGGGTTAGGGTTAGGGTTAGGGTTAGGGTTAGGGATAGGGTGAGGGTGGGTTAGGGTAGGGTTAGGGTTAGGGTTAGGGTTAGGGTTAGGGTTAGGGTTAGGGGTTAGGGATAGGGATAGGGTAGGGTTAGGGTTAGGGTTAGGGTAGGTTAGGGTTAGGGTTAGGGTGGGTTTAGGGTTTGGGTTAGGGTTAGGGTTAGGGATAGGGTTAGGGTTAGGGTTAGGGTAGGGTAGGGATAGGGTTAGGGTTAGGGTTAGGGATAGGGTTAGATAGGGTTAGGGTTAGGGTTAGGGATAGGGATAGGGTTAGGGTTAGGGTTAGTGGGTTAGGGTTAGGGTTAGGGATAGGGAGGGTTAGGGATTAGGGTTAGGGTTAGGGTTAGGGTTAGGGTTAGGGATTAGGGTTAGGGATAGGGTTAGGGTTAGGGTTAGGGTTAGGTTAGGGATAGGGTTAGGGATAGGGTTAGGGATAGGGTTAGGGTTAGGGTTAGGGGTTAGGGTTAGGGATAGGGTTAGGGTTAGGGTTAGGGTTAGGGTTAGGACCTCAACGAACACCTTCCCAGACGTTGCTGCATTCGATGCCATTACGTCGGATGTGCTGCAACGGATGTGGAATGAACTGGACTATCGCTTGGACATCTGCCGTGTCACACGGGGCGCCCATATCGAACATCTCTGAAGGTGAGACAAAACTTTGATAGTTTATCTGTCGCTACGTAGCTGTGGTTTGGTTACAGTAAACATACATTTGTCTAAAATTAATTTTCTTATTGGCCTATTCATTTTGACTAACCCTGTATTTTAATGTATTTTTGTACTATTGTATTATGATGTTTACTGTGGTTTATCTTATTGTATTTTAATCCTATGCTGTTAGCCAGCCTGAGTCCCTCATCGGAGGTCGAGAAGACCGGGTTATAAAAGCTCGAAATAAATAAATAAATAAATAATAATAGCCTCCGGATGCTGGAGATGGAAGGGGAAAGCCTTTGCCTTTGCCTGTGTATTGTCTGTCGTTGTTGTTCACTGTGTTAAAGGCATAGAATGTTCATGTTATATGTGTACTGTAATCCACTCTGATTCCCACTGGGAAGATAAAGCAGAATATAAATAAAGTGTATTACTACTACTACTACTTGATACACAACAAGATTAGTACAGAGCAAACAAGATCCCTCTACTGGCTGATGTATTTGATCGCACTGTGGACTCAAACAATGATGGATCTGGAACAAACTTGGCAGTCATACTCAATATGCCCAAATGTGAACACTTGTAGAGTTTGAGGAAAATATACTTTGACATTTGGGAGTTGTAGTTGCTGGGATTTATAGTTCACCTACCATCAAAGAGCATTGTGAACCAAACTTGGCACACAGAACGTCCCATGACCAACAGAAAATACCGTGTTTTCTGATGGTCTTTGGCGACCTCTCTGACACCCCCCTCACAACCCCCCCAAGAGGTCCCAACCCCCAGGTTGAAAAACGCCGGACTAGATGGTCTCTTCCAACACTGATATTGTATATTCTGTTGTGAATTTTTTTCCTATGTGTTTCCAGCATAAGCAAAGGGGCCCATGGCACCCCCCTAGGCCTGGGACCCCAGTCCCATGGCTCTCTCTCTCTCTCTTTCTCACCTAGACCCCCACCCCACCGTGCCAGAAACAGGGGGTGGTCTTAATGTGGCCAGCTGTGACGGAATGAGGAGGTGGGGGTTTCCTCTCCTGGCTCCTTCCCCTTTTTGAAGGGGAAGTGAAACCACCACACTTTCCATTCTCAGAAGGAAGGCCTCTCTCTTCAAGCATTTCCTTCTGCTTTGTAACAAGGGGTCTCTACACTCCCCCTCCCCTGAAAGTCTCCCAAGAAAGGAGGTGGGTGGGTGGGTTTGAGAAGCCTGGAAGAGAAGGGTGATGGGGGGGGGGGGGACAAACGCACCCATCGCACACCCTGCTAAGAGGGGCGAAGAAGGGCTGGGGAGCAGGGATGCAAAGGGCCTCCCCAAGAGTGGAAGCTGGTGTTTTCGGTTAGCAGGGCGGAGAAGGAAACCTTGTGTTTCAGGCCAAGGAGTTGGGTGAGCTGGACAGCTTTCGGCGGTTTTCTGGCGAAACTGCACTAAATTATTCACAACGAAGTTCAAAAGCAAAACAGGACTTTACTGGGAATTTAATGGGTCTGGAATACCAGCGATTGCTTAACCCGGAGGTTTCGGTTTAGCATCAGGAGCAAAGCAAAACTACGCAACCGATTGAGGAGTTTCCCTGACTGCATGTATCTGGGTGGGTAAATTTAGGGGAAGCACTAAGGTGGATTTTGGAAGCCACCGCTTCAAAGGACGCAAGGACGGACATGGGAAGCAGTCAGGTTTTCTGATGGAGAGGATGATCTCAAAGCACAACGGCATGATCCCAAAGCAAAGTTTCCAAACACAACGTATTGAAACTCCATTTTTTATGAAAAGACACTCCAAAATATATGTCCAAAACATATTTCACACTCCAAGTAAAAAACAACACACAAATAAATAATTAAATATAATAAATAATAAGAATGCAGACATGTATCAAAAAACAATATCAGATTTGGAAAGTGAGCTGCTGGGTGGTCCACTCTCCCAGCAAGTTCTACATCAGGCCTGGGCCAACTTGGGCCCTCCAGGTGTTTTGGATTCCAACTCCCACCATTCCTAACAGCCTCAGTTCCTTTCCTTTCCCCCCTCGGCAGCCTCGGTCCCTTTCCTTTCTCCCTCGGCAGCCTCAGTCCCTTTCCTTTTCCCCCTCGGCAGCCTCAGTCCCTTTCCTTTCCCCCCTCGGCAGCCTCAGTCCCTTTCCTTTTCCTCCTCAGTCCCCTCAGTCCCTTTCCTTTCCTCCCTCAGCAGTCTCAGTCCCTTTCCTTTTCCTCCTCAGCAGCCTCGGTCCCTTTCCATTTTCCCCTCAGGAGCCTCGGTCTGTTTCCTTTTCCCCCTCGGCACCCTCAGTCCCTTTCCTTTCCTCCCTCAGCAGCCTCAGTCTCTTTCCTTTTCCTCCTCGGCAGCCTCGGTCCCTTTCCTTTTCCTCCTCATCAGCCTCAGTCCCTTTCCTTTTCCCCCTAAGCAGCCTCAGTCCCTTCCTTTTCCCCTCAGCAGCCTCAGTCCCTTTCCTTTTCTGCCTCAGCAGCCTCGGTCCCTTTCCTTTCCTCCCTCCGCAGCTTCAGTCCCTTTCCATTTCCTCCTCGGCAGCCTCAGTCCCTTTCCATTTCCTCCTCGGCAGCCTAGATCCCTTTCCATTTCCCCCTCGGCAGCCTCAGTCCCTTTCCTTTCCCCCCTCAGCAGCCTCAGTCCCTTTTCCTTTTTCCCCTCGGCACCCTCGGTCCCTTTCCTTTCCCCCCTCGGCACCCTCAGCCCCTTTCCTTTCCTCCTTCAGCAGCCTCAGTCCCTTTCCATTTCCTCCTCGTCAGCCTCGATCCCCTTCCTTTCCCCCATCGGGACCCTCAGTCTCTTTCCTTTTCCCTCCTCAGTCGCTTAAGCAGTTGAGGGGGAAAAGGAAGGGGCCTGAGGCAGTTAGGAATTGTGAGATTGGAGTCCAAAACTTTGGAGGGCCCAAGTTGGCACAAGTTTGGTTTACATACATATGCAAACCTTGTCACTCCTTCTTGTTGGTCAGAAAAGATCTTCCCAGATGCACCAGCAGCACCATGCATGTGTCAGTATTTTGAGTGTGCCAACGGGAGGTGAGGGAACCTGCTTAGAGAAGCTCGATGCCCAGGGGGCTGCCGGGAATACTAATATGTCCAGGGTCCTGCCGGCCTGGAATACTGCTTTGTCCGAGTCCCTTCTCTGGGGTCACAGTGCTGGGGCCATGGAGGGAGCTCTGCTTCAAGTAACCGCTAGCCATGGCGACCTTAGGGTACTTGGTTCCGTCTGTGCCACAACAAACTGGGGGTCCCGCCTGCTTCTGGTAGCCAGAGAAACCTCCTTCCTGGGGTGCTGCTGTTGGTGCCTCTGTTTCCTCCCAAACGCCGCTTGTGGAGTCTTCTGACTGGCCGACCCCATGGGACAGGCTTCCCGAGGGGTCCTGCAGGCAGATCCCGCTGTCGGTGCTGCCTCCAATGCTGCTGTTAATGCTGCCTGCGAGGCTGCTTCCGAAAGCCAGAAGCCCCTCTGTAGTCCATGCCACCGACCGGCAGGGCTTCTCCGGTGCCAAGAAGGGGGGCACGGACCCTGCACCCCAAGGCTGAGCCTGGCCAGAGATGCTCTGCCCCTTTGGGCCCAGGAGAGAAAGTGGGTAGGTGGGCTCCCTCTCCACCTGCAGGACCAATGGTGAGTGCGGAGACTCGCTCTTCGGCATGGACCTCTGCCACCAAGGAGAGAGGAACACAATGGGAAGAGGTTGAGTACTTGGTCGAGTGCGTTAAGGAGCACCCCGTGCAGCCCCTGCCCTTGCTGGTCACACACTTACCAGCACCTCTGGCCAGGCCTTGGTGGGCTTCTTAATGTAGGCCCGGGCCAATCCCAAGCTGGCCAACAAGGCACCAAGAAGGGGCAGACTCAGCAGGAGAGTTGTTCTGGTGTGTCCTGCAAGGGAAGACAAGCACAGGCCGGGCTTTACACAGCTGGTAAATCACCAGCAATGATAAGATCGACCAACCGAAAGGTTGCCAATTCGAAGCCCCAGGTTGGCATAAGCTCCCGACTGACAGCCAAGCTTACTGTTTACCTAAGCATTTCGAAAACAACTTGAGCTGCAAGTAGAGAAATTAGGTACCACTAAAACAAGTGGGGGAGGTATTTAACGATAGCATAAAGAAAAAGATCAGAAAATGCCCGGCGACCAAAAGGAAGAAGGAAGACCTTTGTGATAGAGGATGGAGCGACGGCACCCTCATGTGGCTGGAATTGAGCACAACCTCCAAGGCATCAAAAAGCTGGAAGTCGACACAACAAACCTCCTTTCTGTTCTGTTCTGTCTCTGTCCTGTCTATCCAACATGTTTGCTGTGTATGTTATGATTGTTTGCTGTGTATGTTTACTGTGATTCGCCCTGAGTCCTCTTGGGGAGATAGAGTGGAATATAAATAAAGTGTTGTTGTTGTTGTTGTTGTTGTTGTTGTTATTATTATTATTATTATTATTATTATTATTATTATTATTATTATGGGTTGGTGGCTGTTCCCAGCAAAAAGGGCATCCTTTTGTCCTGTGGTGTGTCTTGTTTTTCTCCAGACACAGCCTTACAACCTGAGTAAAAGTGAACAAACTATTATTATTATTTTCATGTCAGGAGCGACTTGAGAAACTGCAAATCGCTTCTGGCGTGAGAGAATTGGCCGTCTGCAAGGTCGGTTGCTGCCAGCGCTGACATCGATTTTGATGTTTTTTATATATTTTTTTCAGAGGCGGCCCTAGGTAATTTTCAAGTGTAAGCACCACCCCCCCCAAACAATCACTGATATATATTTTCTGTTTGTTGTGGGAGTTCTATGTGCCATATTTGGTTCAATTCCATCATTGGTGGAGTTCAGAATGCTCTTTGATTGTAGGTGAACTATACATCCCAGTATCTACAACTCGCATATGTCAAGGTCTATTTCCCCCCAAGAGCGCCTCAAGAGTGCCCCTGGGCAAAATCAACTATACTTGGCCCCAAATCCCCAAGTGTTACCTCTTCAGCCTCCTGTTCTACCTCCTCCTCAGAAGCAGAAGAGAAGTCCACAACATGGTGGTGATGAGGAGATATTGGAAAAATAGATATTTATTTATGTAAAAATTGTATGTACTTTATAAGCACTGAAATGTATAGAAAAATCAAGTTTTCTCTGTATAAGAAACCCAAGCTAACAGGACAAGCAAGCTGCGTCCAGGCACAGCAAAAGAGGGGATGAAGAGGGGGCATGTTGTCTATACATTCCAGGAGAGAGATAAGCCTGTCCTAGGAGCAACAGGCTGGTACAACTAGGCTCTAAAAGGAGCGCCCCTCTCCCTCATGACAGGTCAAAGTGGGCCCCTTGATTGATGAATGTAAGATGCTTGCTCTTCAGAAACACAGAGACATGCTTTTTGTATGTTGGAAGATAGAATTTGATGCTAAGGTGACACAGTGAATGATGTCAACATATGTAGACACATGTTCTTTGTTTGCTTGCATTTGGAGACTATAAAAGCCATAGTCAATGCCTCTAGTATTGCTCTGGTGCTTTTGGACATAGTCTACTCCAGGGCCCCAGCTGGAAATAAAATCTGTGCTTTTGAGACCTCCGGACCTCTCTTTGTCTCTTTTCCTGAAACCTTCTCCCTGCCATTTCAGTGGTACTCAGGATGGGCAGTATCATAGTATCCTAGACTTGGAAGAGACCTCATGGGCCATCCAGTCCAACTCCATTTTGCCAAGAAGCAGGAATATTGCATTCAAAGCACCCCCGACAGATGGCCATCCAGCCTCTGCTTAAAATCCTCCAAAGAAGGAGCCTCCACCACACTCCGGGGCAGAGAGAGAGTTCCACTGCTGAACAGCTCTCACAGTCAGGAAGTTCTTCCTAATGTTCAGGTGGAATCTCCTTTCCTGTAGTTTGAAGCCAAGAAAGTCAAAGCATAGTCAAAGGAAGGGTATTCCCCGGAGTAACCTATGGATGTGAGAGCTGAACCAGAGGGAAGGCTGAGTGAAGGAAGAGAAATGCTTTTGAGCTACACCTGTGAAGCCCCTGGGGCTGCTGGGCAAATGCATGCACATGCAGAGGCGGCCCTAGGTAATTTTCAACGGTAAGCAAACAGTATTTTGGCGCCCCCCCCCCCCAACCAATCATTGATATATATTTTCTGTTCGTCGTGGGAGTTCTGTGTGCCATATTTGGTTCAATTCCATCATTGGTGGAGTTCAGAATGCTCTTTGATTGTAGGTGAACTATACATCCCAGTAACTACACTTGCCGCACTTGCTCCCTTGCCTGGCCTGCTTTGGGTCCGGAGGCATGCCTGAAGACCCCGGCGTGTGCACCAAAAGTCACCTCTTCTCCTGACATTCTCCTCAGCCATTGGGACCAAGAGAGAGAGAGAGAGAGAGAGAGGTGGAGATGCCCACCTTTCCTGAAGGTAGGCGCAAAAACAAAGGAGGGAGCGGAGGTGGGAGATACCTCCAGCCGGAGGGGCTCTCTCTCTCTCTCTCTCTCTTGGTCCCAATGGCTGAAGAGAAAGTCAGGAGAAGAGGTGACTTTTGGTGCGCATGCTGGGGTCTTCAGACATGCCTCCGGACCCAAAGCAGGCCAGGCGCGGAGAGGAGAGGAGGCGGGTGGAGCGCCAGGGAATCGGGAAAGGGAGCCGGTCATGGGGAAGGGATCGAACGCGGAAAACGATTGAGCAGGTGGCCAGGTGGAGCAGGAACGAGAGGGGCGAGCCGAGGCTCAAGGGCTCGGCCCCTTTGGGAAGAGGATTGCCCAGCAGTGAGGCAAGAAAGCCGAGGCTCCCCCCCGGACTGCTAGGGCTGTTGTGAGCTGAGGGGGCGCTGCTCAAGTGGTGGTCGAGGGGCATTTACAGAGGTGCCTCTGCGCCCCTGGCAAAAAAAAGTGTTCTGCGACCGCTTACTTCGCGTAATGGACGAGCCGCCCCTGTGCACCTGTGTGGGAGCGAAGCTAGGCCTCACCTTCCTCCAGAGGCAAGAGGAAGAGGCACTGCTCCTCCGTCCGGATGCCAGGCGTTGCAGAGGAGGCGAGCCGTGGTTCCACACTGACGCAGTACTCCTTGCCTGGCATCAGGCCCTGCAGGTCGAACTCCGTGCTGTTCTCCACCTGGCCCAGGCTCACCTCAGCCCCATGGGACACCGTCCTGATATAGACGTGGAACCGCCGGCCATTGGGGTGGAGGTCTTCATAGGTGATGTTGCCCCAGGGGCTGATGGGAAGCTGGATGGAGAGGTGGATGAGGCCGTTGCGAGGGGTCAAGCTCACGCCGGACAGCCACAGGGTTGCTGCAGAAACAGAGTTACATGTGATGGGTTGCCAGCAAGGAAAGGTGGCCCTCCAGCTGGCCAGGTCACAGAGGGGTCTGGGGGAAGACCCACATTGGCACACACCTTCCTCTGGCTTGAAGGGGGGCGCCTGGACCCACTTGGAGGCCTCCTGGGACCCTGCTAGGGTTCGCACCCGGACGTGGTAGCGCTGTCCAGGCTGCTGGGTCTCGGCGGAGAGGTCGCAGGAAGGAAGGGCGATGCCCACGCAATTCGGCACCGGTGCCCAGTGGCTGTTTTCACCGTACCTGGAAGGCAAATCTGGATGAAGGAGCAGGCAGCCGTGGAGCATCCGCTTAGGAACAGAGGGACTGGGAGCTGCACCTGAGCAGCATTCATCCCAAAAGAGGGATTTCATCCCAGGAGGGTCAAGCAAATAATAAATAATAAAAAATAATAAAACTTTATTTATATACCGCTCTATCTCCCCGAGGGGACTCAGAGCGGTTCCCAAGTAACATCACAAAACATACAGAGTAAAAACAACATAAGCATAAGATTAACAAACAAAAATATAAACATAAAAATTGTCGCCGTAACACACATATATTAAAAGTAATCCTCCCCGTTCAAGGCAATTAAACATTTAAAAGGCCGGGCCAAGATTTGTGCAAGCCCCAAAATTTTAGGGGAGCCAGGAATTGAGTGCAATGCTATGGCAGGCAACCATAATATTAGGTATGTGTCTGAGGCCATTCATTCCGGGACCGATGAGAGGAAAGGATCTGGGTAATTGGTAGGAAGAATAAGGCCGTATTACACAATGTGTGGGGCTGAGTTAGAACTGGTCATTTTCAAAGGCTTGTTGAAACCACCAGGTCTTCAAGCTCTTACAAAAGGAGGGGAGGAATGGGGCCTGTCTTATTTCCCTTGGAAGGGTGTTCCAGAGGCAGGGAGCCACCACCGAAAAGGCCCTCTCTCTTGTCCCCACCAACGGTAGTGGGACCGAGAGGAGGGTCTCCCCAGAAGATCTTAGAGCTCGTGCCAGTTCATAGAAGGAGATGTGATCATGGAGACAGAATCATAGAATCATAGAATCAAAGAGTTGGAAGAGACCTCATGGGCCATCCAGTCCAACCCCATTCTGCCAAGGAGCAGGAATATTGCATTCAAAATCACCCTGACAGATGGCCATCCAGCCTCTGTTTCAAAAGCTTCCAAAGAAGGAGCCTCCACCACACTCGGGGAGAGAGTTCCACTGCTGAACGCTCTCACAGTCAGGAAGTTCTTCCTCATGTTCAGGTGGAATCTCCTCTCTGTAGTTTGAAGCCATTGTTCCATCGTCCTAGTCTCCAGGGAAGCAGAAAACAAGCTTGCTCCCTCCTCCTGTGGCTTCCTCTCACATATTATCATGGCTATCATATCTCCTCTCAGCCTTCTCTTCTTCAGGCTAAACATGCCCAGCTCTAGTCTTTAAGCCACTCTTCATAGCGCTTGTTCTGGAGATGCTACCGCGGAGACAGGCGGGGCCCGAACCGTTTAGGGCTTTATAGGTCATGACCTGCACCTTGAATTTGGCTCGGCAACTTATCAGCAGCCAATGAAGCTGTTTTAATAGGGGTGTTGTATGCTCCCTATAGTTTGCTCCAGTAAGGAGCCTGGCTGCCGCTCGCTGTACCAGATCAAACTTCCGGCCCGTCTTCAAGGGCAGCCCCACGTAGAGCACATTGCAATAGTCCAGTTTGGATGTATCCAAGGCGTGGATCACCCTGGCCAAGTCAGGGAAAGAGGACCCCACTTTCCCCTTGACCCCCTCCTTCCCCCCCCCACTCACCTTCGGTACTGGACTTCGTAGAGGAGCCGCTCATGTTTGGTGGCGTCAAGGGGGTCAGGCCCGTCCCACCGGAGAAGGTGGTGGAAGGCCTTGCCTGTGACACGTGGACGGAGCGGTGCCGGGGGTCTCTCTGCTCCAACTCCTGTGGGACAGGAATGAGCCCCTATGAGAGAAGCCCCCCAGGAGCCCTCTGCCCACTATCCCTTTCCTGCCCCAAGCCCCACCTTCCTGGGGGTCTCCCTTCTCACCCACCGGGGTCCCTGAGCCAACACAGGAGCAGCAGGAGCAGCCTCTGCATCTTTGGGCATCTGCAGTGAATGAGCAGCCAGGCGCTTCTGTCACTTCCTCTGGGCTTTTTCCCTGCCCGCCCTGGCTCTTCCAGTTCCTCTTTCTCGGCCCCAAAGCCCAGGGGAATATCCCCTCAGGGCCTGCCCCACAGCTCCCCCCTCTGCTTGACCTAAGAGGAAACCATCCCAGGAGAGGGCCTGTCGTCAGAGGCGGCCCTAGGTAATTTTCAAGCACACAGTATTTTGCCCCCCCCCCCAACCAATCATTGATATATATTTTCTGTTTGTCGTGGGAGTTCTGTGTGCCATATTTGGTTCAATTCCATCATTGGAGGAGTTCAGAATGCTCTTTGATTGTAGGTGAACTATACATCCCAGTAACTACACTTGCCGCATTTGCTCCCTTGCCTGGCCCGCTTTGGGTCCGGAGGCGTGCCTGAAGACCCCAGTGTGTGCACCAAAAGTCACCTCTTCTCCTGACTTTCTCCTCAGCCATTGGGACCGAGAGAGAGAGAGAGAGAGAGAGAGAGAGAGAGAGGTGGAGATGCCCACCTTTCCTGAAGGTAGGCGCAAAAACAAAGGAGGGAGCGGAGGTGGGAGATACCTCCAGCCGGAGGGGCTCTCTCTCTCTCTCTCTCTCTCTCTCTCTTGGTCCCAATGGCTGAAGAGAAAGTCAGGAGAAGAGGCGACTTTTGGTGCGCACGCTGGGTCTTCAGACACGCCTCCGGACCTGAAGCGGGCCAGGCGCGGCGGCTCCGCCCCTTGGCCCACCCACGGATTGGGGAGAGGAGAGCAGGCGATGGAGTGCCGGGGGATCGGGAAAGGGAGCCGGTCATGGGGAAGGGATCGAACGTGGAGAACGATTGAGCGCCGGCTCTGCTCATGCACCCGGTGGCCGGGTGGAGCAGGAACGAGAGGGGCTAGGCGAGGCTCAAGGGCCCGGCCCCTTTGGGAAGAGGATCGCCCGGCGGCGAGGCAAGAAAGCCGAGGCTCCCCCCAGACTGCTAGGGCTGTTGTGAGCTGAGGGGGCGCTCCTCAAGTGGCGGTCGAGGGGCATTTACAGAGGCGCCTCTGCACCCCTGGCAAAAAAAAGTGTTCTGCGACCGCTTACTTCGCGTAATGGAGGAGCCGCCCCGGCCTGTCGTAGCCCTGCACAGCCTCTCTCAATATCAATATCAATATCAATATCAATATCAATATCAATATCAATATCAATATCAATATCATCAATATCAATATCAATATCAATATCAATATCAATATCAGCTGCTCTGAGTCCACTTCAGGCTGAGATAGAGTGGGAAAGAAATAGAGTAAATACATAAATACAAGGACAGTTCCACCTTGTCTCCTGTGCTATGCTAATAATATAATATATTATAATATAATGTAATGTAATATATTATATATACATATAATAGTTATGGTATTATAATGTAATACAATATAATACTACTAATATTAATATGATATTATAATTATATATTTTATATTCCATGTAATATTACTAATAATATTACAATAAAATGGTATAGTGCAATATAATAATATATAATTCAGATATTGTGCTATGCTAATATTGTACTATGCTAATAATAATAATAATAATAATAATAATAATAATAATTTATTATTATTATTATTATTATTATTATTATTATTATTATTTTAACGGTGCTCCATGCAGTCATGCCAGCCACATGACCTTGGAGGTGTCTATGGACAACGCCGGCTCTTCGGCTTAGAAATGGAGATGAGCACCACACCCCAGAGTCAGACACGACTGGACTTAATCTCAGGGGAAACCCTTTACCATTACCTAATAATATAAGATATTGTATTTATATATATCTTGTAAGCCACTCTGAGTCTCCTTCGGGGTGAGAAGGGTGGCACAGAAATGTCGAAAACAAACAAACAAACAAACAAACAAACAAATAAACAGCCACTCACAACTCTTGCCATCAGCCAGTCCGGGGTCCAAGCCAATCCAGATTAAGACAGCAAACTATTCATGGATGTTTCAGAAGTCATAGTCAATTGTTCATCCCAAAGGTCCTCACCAAATCATTCACAATCTCTGAGGATGCGCGCCATAGATGCAGGCGAAACATCAGGAGAGAATGCTTCTAGAACAGAGTTTCTCAACTTTCCTAATGCCGCAACCCCTTAATTCAATTTGTCAAGTTGTGGTGACTCCCAACCATAAAATTATTTTTGTTACTACTTCATAATTGTAATTTTGCTACTGTTGTGAATCGTAATGTAAATATCTGATATGCAGGATGTATTTTCATTCACTGGACCACATTTGGCACAAATACCCAATAGGCTCAAATTTGAATACTGGTAGGGTTGGGGGGTTGATTTTGAAATTTGGGAGTTGTAGTTGCAGGGATTTATAGTTCATCTACAATCAAAGATCATTCTGAACTCTACCAATGATGGAACTGAACCAAACTTGGCACATGAAACTCCCATGACTAACAGAAAATACTGGAAGGGTGTGGTGGGCATTGACCTTGACTTTGGGAGTTGTAGTTCACCTACATCCAGAGAGCACTGTGGACTCAAACCATGATGGATCTGGACCAAACTTGGCACATGAAACTCCTGATGTCGAGCTCTTTTAGGTGGTCCCCCCAGAAAAGGGAGGTCCCGGAAGACCGCAAATGGGGTCTTGACCTTGGTGAGCTGCCAGCAAAGGCCAATCCAAAGACGCGAAAATATTAAAAATCAATCTCACCAGGCTGAAGAGGTACCAGCGACCGAAGCGTTTATTTCTGCGATTCAGCTGAAAAGGATGCGTTACAGGGATATTTCCACCATAAGCATACATTCATAGGAGTTACAGGCATTTTTATATTGTCAGAACAAAGGAAAAACAGTTTGAAAATCCCGCCCACCCTCCGTCAGCTGGCTTCGTCCTGATTGGCTGTCCCTGGAACAGCTGGGAGGAGGCCGGGCCGTATGTCCCGCCTTCCCTCCAATCGCCGGGCGCTGTTGCCTCCAGGGGGCCAATCGGAGCCTTTCTAGCGCTTCTGAGGATGGTCCAATCAGCGACCAGGAGGTGGGACCTGGTTTGACAGCTCATAGGGGGCGGAGTGCCTGGGAGGTGTCCGCCAGCCGATTGAGAACTTTTGTTCTAAGCTGTGGGGTGGCAGACGGAAGAAACAAAGAGCTTCCTGATTCCTTGATTGGGGATGTGTAGAGACATGAAAAGGGGCTGTTGATGGCATTTGGATCTCGGACTCTGTAAACAAGGAGACCCTTGAACACAAAGGAGCTGCACAAATGCCATGGGTTGGGTTAGTTAATCCTTCTTTCCAGGTTTCGGTTGACTTATCTCTGGCCCATTATCTGAACTCTGAAAATGTGCCCGGAGATAGGATCAACCCCGGCCCATGCAAAATGTCAATATGAATGGGGATTATTCTGAGGAAAATTGGATTTCCTCAGCTGTAACCTCAGGTCACATTCTTTCTTAGTAAGGTAAAGTTCAGAGGGGAAAAGTAGGAAAAAAGGGCAAGGGTACATCTCATAGATTTCATATTATACATATCATCATAAGTCTTCATAAATTCCATAAAAGGGATTCCCACCCCAACCCAGCAAAGTTTATTAGAGGCAATAATTTGATGAAAGTGATCCATTTCTGTTTGAAGTATGATCTCCTTGGCGAAGGTGCACACGCACAGGCGGAGGCTGTTTTCTCCAAGAGGCCTGGTTCAGAGTCCGTGGAGGAGGTCCAAGACGATGGGGCATCAAGTCAATAAGTAAAGGCAAAAGAATCTGTAAGGGGACTTCCAGGCGGAGGGGTGTGGGGCAATGTCCTTCGGAAAACTACATTTCCCTGATCAAGGGCCAGGGTCCAGTGCACAAGCCAGAGAATTCACAAAGAAGAAACAGGAACCCAGTTATGTGTGCTGGGTCAGGAAGCAACAGAATCCATTGTCCGGCCCTTGGCGAACTACAAATACTTGAGGGGGGGGGGGAAAGATGCTCCGCATCACTCCCATGACCAACAGAAAATACTGGAAGGGTTTGGTGGGTACTGACCTTGAGTTTTGGAGTTGTAGTTCACTTAGATCCAGAGAGCACGGTGGACTCAAACAATCATGGATCTGGACCAAACTTGGCATGAATACTCAATGTGCCCAAATTTGAACACTGGTGGGGCTCGGGGAAAACAGATCTTGACATTTGGGCGTTATAGTTCACCTACAATCAAAAAGCATTCTGACCCCCTCCAACGATAGAATTGGGCCCCCAGGTTGAGAAACACTGTTCTAGAACATGGCCAGACAGCCTGAAAAATGCACAACAACCCATTCAAGTCTAGGTGTAATCCAAATTTCCAAAGCCAAGGTCCAAAACATGGAGATATATGTGAGGTCACCAGGCAGAGCTCCAAGCTGTAGCAGATTCCAGACATTGCTCCCAGCAACAGACCAAATCCAAACTGCCACCAAACAAGTTCTCTCACCTGTAGGCCCTTCTCTGTGCCAACCGGGTAGATCTGTGCAGCTGAATAGCATCAGTCCTAAGTTGCAGTCTTTCTTGGACACTTAACTCTGCCTCGTTGGTCTCTTGACCCTAACTCTGGATTCTCACTTGGTCCTGCACTGCAGGGGGAGCTTCCACACTTGTTGTTGTTCCCTGCTTGTTGCTGACCCAGGTGCTGGGCCTGGCAGCCCTTCATCTTCATCTGTATTGCAGACCCTGACAGTGCCCCTGAGCATGTGCAAAGCTCCATTCCTTGGAGTCTTGGCACGATCCCAGGTCAAAGGCCCACCAAGACCTCCCCACAGACTGTGCGCTCTCTGCCCTTTGACCCCAGAGGTGATGCCGACAGCTGCTTCTACTTCCTCTCCTCCGGTCCTTTCCGACTCCTTCTTCCCACGCGGTTTCTGTTTTCGTCACCATCCTTTCGGGTGTTCCCTGAGTCACTGACGAAACATGGAGAGACGAGGCTGCTCCTCCCACAGAAAGAGCCGGCCTGAGAGTGGACTCCCACGCCAACCGACCGTGACTTTGTTTGTTTGTTTATTGGCCAATCTATGGACAGGCACATATGGACAAGCAATATGGACATATGGACCGGTTCTGTAGGTTTGCTCTTAAGTTGAATTTGTATGCAAGCCGGAACAGGAACTTCTTATAGTATAACTCCAGAAACACAAACAGACAAAGAAATGGTGCGCACTCTCTCTCTCTCTATATATATATTAGGCTTGGGCAATCCATGGTTCTAAATGGTTCTAAAGTACTTACAAAACTAAAGTTCTGGTGGTGAAAATTTCAGAACTCTAACAAAACTCTCAAAATTTCATAATAAACGGCAGTTCCTAATTGGTTCTGTCATTAAAATCACCAATAATGAAATAATAATTAAATTTTGAAAGTTTTGTTAGAGTTCTGAAATTTTCACCACCAGAACTTTAGTTTTGTAAGTACTTTAGAACCATTTAGAACAATGGATTGCCCAAGCCTAATATATATATCTATATAAATAAAATGTCATGTTCGTTTGTGGGATTAACAGAACTCAAAAACCACTGGACGAATTGACACCAAATTTGGACACAAGACATCTAACAACCCAATGTATGTCCTTCACTCAAAAAATTGATTTTGTCATTTGGGAGTTGTAGTTGCTGGGATTTATAGTACACCTACAATCAAAGAGCATTCTGAACTCCACCAATGATGGAATTGAACCAAACTTGACACACAGGACTCCCATGACCAACAGATAATACTGGAAGGGTTTGGTGGGTATTGACCTTGAGTTTTAGAGTTGTGGTTCACCTCCATCTAGAGAGTGCTGTGGACTCAAATAATGAAGGAACTAGACTAAACTTGGCACGAATATTCCATATGCCCAAATATGAACACAGATGGAGTCAAAACAAACAGTGCAGATAGATAGATAGATAGATAGATAGATAGATAGATAGATAGATAGATAGACAGACAGACAGATAGACAGACAGACATAAGCTTTGGATTGCACAGGAAAGGGTCAACACCCCTGTGGCGTTTCCTTGGCTGTCTTTGTCCCTCTTCAGAAGATTTCCCCCCACTTTCTGTCTCAGTGATAACTGGATTTTGACAACTTTGACTTGTGGAACTGTCCCTGTGAGAGAATTGGATTTTGACAACTTTGGCTTGTTGTGGAAAAAAGGATTGGTGAGAGATCTTCAGTGGAGACCTCTTTTCCCCATGATAATGATTCTCCCAGTAGTGGATTTCCTTCCAAGGAAAAAGATTCCTCTTACTTCCTGTTGTCTCACCCTCGTTCGTAATTAGGAGTCATTTCTAAGTTGGATGTTTGTAACTCGGGGAAGGCCAGTAATACCTGTGCCACCGCTCCCAGAGGGATGCAGCAGTAGGACGAGGGTGGGATGTTTTCAACCATCCTTGACCTGGGGAGAAGGGTCCCACCCATGCTTTCCTTCTGCTGCTGGTGTGTGTGGGGGGGGGGGGGGGGGGGGGGGTCTCTATGATGCAAAGCATGGAGAGGACCGGCCCTCACCTGAGGGCCCACCGTCACCTGCTCCCCTCTCTGACCTTGCCTCAGTCCCTTTGACCTCTTGCCCTGCCCTGAGCCAGGTGCGTCCTCCCTCTTTCCCTTTGTCCCTTCCTTCCTTCCTTCCCTCCTTCTCCTCCGTGGTGACCTCCCAGGGGTGGGGCATCTCTGTGATTGCCACTTGGCCAACCCGCTGGGCCTAGTAGGGCCACTGGGGATCGAGGCGACTGAGGATGGCCCTCCTGGCCATGCCTCTGAGGTCTCTGCCATTCCTTCACTAGTTTGAGGGAAGATTCCTCAGGACTTCCACCTGCCACCGAGGAACCCGTCTCAGTGCTGTGCCAAGCTGTCTCAGGCCAAGCCAAGCCGCCTTTCAGGTCAGCCCAGTTTCTCCTTCTCGGCGTCTCTTGCTTCCTCGGCAGGGGTTGCTACACACCTGAGGAGGGAGTGTGCCAAACCCCATGGGCTTGGCGATACCTACCTTTGCCCGGGAGGAGTGTGCAGAGGCACTTTGGACCTCCTGGGGCAGAGCGCATGGGCAATGGGGGGCAGTCTGTCTGCAGAGATGAGGGAGGCAACCCGCGGCAGGTGAGTCGGCCTCAGAAGGGAGGCAGCAGGTGGGCAAGCCCCCATCCATTGTCGTGTTTGGGCCTGTTGCTTCCTGCTGAAAAAAAGAGCGGTATGGAATGGGAGGCCGCATTGCCGGTGGGTGTCTGGGCCTGGGGGAGGAAAGCCTGGAATGGAAACCAGGTGTTGTGTGTTGGAATGCCTCATTTTGCTCTGTTTGGAAGCTCTGGCTGCTTGCCTTGACCCAAACACATAGGATCTGGGCAGCCCTCAATAGCCCTGGTCAAGCGCAAGGAGCACCACCTACTTTGGTCCAAGGACAACTCCAAGGGCATCCAAGGGTGTCCCATTCGGTCACAAGACAGAACTGCGGTGCTTCCCCTTCTCCCTCCCTGCCAGGTGGGGCAGCCCCATAAAGCTATAAGAGTCAACAGCAGAGAAGGAGAGGATGTGCATGCCCTCAAAGGAGGCTGCCGATGAGTCAGAGGGAGGAACTGCCCGGTTGCCCAGCTTCTTCTTGTTATTGTTGGCCCCGCTGACGTCTCTCCCTCCGAATGGCCCGGCCACATTCCAGCACCCAGGAAGGTGTTGTTGTCTCATTGCATTTAGAAACCTGGGGCTTTGCACATAACTCTCGGGTTGCAACAGTACGGCTGGCTGCATTTCCCGTTTCCGGGTACAATTCAAAGAAGTGCTTATGACCTAGAAAGATTGACACGGCTGTTGCCCAGGCTGAGGGGCCATATTCTCCCCTGTTTTGAGATCTGCTGGTGGGTGGTGGTGGTGGGGCTTCTTCTTTCTATCCCACAAACCCCTTTACACAGAGGCATGTGAATGAAGCACAGGAGAAACAGGCCCTTCTCAGTGGTGGCTTCTACTGAAATCCATGGGGTTTCACTATATGAGGGTTATCCGGAAAGGAAGGTTACAAGGCATGTAGTTCTTGTGGGAAAGTTTCTTGGGAGAAGTTGGTCTCACTGCCATGTAGCAGGAAGCCAGCGGAAGTGAACGAGCAGTGCCAGTCGTCAGTAGCTCATCAACTGGCGTTGTGGGGAGGGTTAGATATCAGCGTCCCCATTCCATTTCCCTCCAAGTTTACGAAGTTTGCTTTGTATTCTCCCCCGTTTTGAGATCTGCTGGCGGGTGGTGGCGGCGCTTCTTCTTTCTATCCCACAAACCCCTTTACACAGAGGCATGTGAATGAAGCACAGGAGAAACAGACCCTTCTCAGTGGTGGCCTCTACTGAAATCCATGGGGTCTCAATATATGAGGGTTATCCGGAAAGGAAGGTTACAAGACACGTAGTTCTTGTGGGAAAGTTTCTTGGGAGAAGTTGGTCTCATTACCGTGTAGCAGGAAGCCAGCGGAAGTGAACGAGCAGTGCCAGTTGTCAGTAGCTCATCAATTGGCGTTGTGAGGAAGGTTAGAGATGAGCGTCCTCATTCCATTTCCCTCCAAGTGCGAAGTTTGCTTTGTATTCTCCCCTGTTTTGAGATCTGCTGGCGGGTGGTGGTGGGGCTTCTTCTTTCTATCCCACCAACCCCTTTACATAGAGGCATGTGAATGAAGCACAGGAGAAACAGGCCCTTCTCAGTGGTAGCCTCTACTGAAATCCATGGGGTCTCAATATATGAGGGTTATCCGGAAAGGAAGGTTACAAGGCACGTAGTTCTTGTGGGAAAGTTTCTCAGGAGAAGTTGGTCTCACTGCTGTGTAGCAGGAAGCCAGCAGAAGTGAACGAGCAGTGCCAATCGTCAGTAGCTCATCAACTGGCATTGTGGGGAAGGTTAGAGATGAGCGTCCTCATTCCATTACCCTCCAAGTTTGCGAAGTTTGCTCTGTATTCTCCCGTTTTGAGATCTGCTGGCGGGTGGTGGTGGGGCTTCTTCTTTCTATCCCACCAACCCCTTTACACAGAGGCATGTGAATGAAGCACAGGAGAAACAGGCCCTTCTCAGTGGTGGCCTCTACTGAAATCCATGGGGTCTCAATATATGAGGGTTATCCGGAAAGTAAGGTTATAAAGCACGTAGTTCTTGAGGGAAAGTTTCTCAGGAGAAATTGGTCTCTTATGTAGTGGGAAGCCAGCGGAAGTGAACGGGTGATGCCAGTCGTCAGTAGCTCATCAACTGGCATTGTGGGGAAGGTTAGAGATGAGCGTCCTCATTCCATTTCCCTCCAAGTGCGAAGTTGGCTCTGTACGAGGGATATCCAGAAAGTAAGTTACAATATTTTTTTAAAATAGAAAGAATAAATATATTTTAATAAAACTTAAATGGATTGTAGCATAGGAATTACATTATTTTTCCACATAATCACCATACAGTTGGAGCCCCCGGTGGCGCAGTGGGTTAAACCCCTGTGCCGGCAGGGCTGAAGACCGACAGGTCGCAGGTTCGAATCCGGGGAGAGGCGAATGAGCTCCCTCTATCAGCTCCAGCTCCTCATGCGGGGACATGAGAGAAGCCTCCCACAAGGATGATAAAAACATCAAAAATCATCCGGGCATTCCCTGGGCAACGTCCTTGCAGATGGCCAATTCTCTCACACCAGAAGCGATTTGCAGTTTCTCAAGTCACTCCTGCCACGACAAAAAAAAACAAAAAAACAAAAACAAACAAACCAGTTCAATACATTTTGTCATCTGTGGGATGGATTTTTATGGGCTGTGACATAGATGTCTCCCACCACTTTTTTCAGCCACATCATCAGTCACAATGGATGGCTGTCCATTTCTGTCCTCATTGTGAATTTCCATCCTTCCGCAATTGAAATTCCATACCCATTTTGCCACAGGATGTCTTGACATTATGTCTTCTCTATAAACTGAAATGTTTTAGTGATGAATCGCTAAAACTTGGATGGGAAATGGAATGAGGACGCCCATCTCTAAACTTCCCCTTGCCTGGCCTCAGGCCTTGCAGGTCGAACTCCATGCTGTTCTCCACCTGGAGCAGGCTCACCTCAGCCCATCCTGATATAGACGTGGAACCACTGGCCATTGGGGTGGAGGTCTTCATTGGTGTGAAAAACATCTTGGAGTCCTCGTGGACAAGTTAAACATGAGCCAACAGTGTGATGTGGTGGCAAAAAAAGCCAGTGGGATTTTGGCCTGCATCAATAGGAGCATAGTGTCTAGATCTAGGGAAGGAAAGCTACCCCTCTGTTCCACCTTGGTTAGACCACAACTGGAATATTGTGTCCAATTCTGGGCACCACAGTTGAAGAGAGACATTGACAATCTGAAATGTGTCCAGAGGGCGACTAAAGTGATCAAGGGTCTGGAGAACAAGCCCTATGAGGAGCAGCTTAAAGAGCTGGGCATGTTTAGCCTGTAGAAGAGAAGGCTGAGAGGAGATATGATAGCTATGTATAAATATGTGAGAGGAAGCCACAGGGAGGAGGGAGCAAGCTTGTCTTCTGCTTCCCTGGAGATTAGGATGTGGAACAATGGCTTCAAACTACAAGAGAGGAGATTCCATCTGAACATGAGAAAGAACTTCCTGACTGTGAGAGCCGTTCAGCTGTGGAACTCTCTGCCCCGGAGTGTGGTGGAGGCTCCTTCTTTGGAAGCATTTAAGCATAGGCTGGATGGCCATCTGTCAGGGGTGATTTGAATGCAATATTCCTGCGTCTTGGCAAGGGGTTGAGGTCTCTTCCAACTCTAGGATTCTATGATTCTATGATGTTGCCCCAGGGATTGATGGGAAGCTGGATGGAGAGGTGGATGAGGCCGTTGCAGGGGGTCAAGCTCACGCCAGACAGCCACAGAGTTGCTGCAGAAAGAGAGTTACATGTGATGGGGTTGGTGGGACCCATTGCCAGCAGGGCAAGGTGGCCCTCCAGCTGGCCAGGTCACAGAGGGGTCTGGGGGAAGACCCACATTGGCACACACCTTCCTCTGGCTTGAAGGGGGGTGCCTGGACCCACTTGGAGACCTCCTGGGACCCTGCCAGGGTTCGCACCCAGACGTGGTAGCGCTGCCCAGACTGCTGGGTCTCAACGGAGAGGTCGCAGGAAGGAAGGGTGATGCCCATGCAACTCGGCACCAGTGCCCAGTGGCTGTTATCACCATACCTGGAAGGCAAGTCTGGATGAAGGAGAGGGCAGCCGAGGAGCATCCTCTTAGGAACAGAGGGACAGGGAGCCGCACTTGAGCCGCATTCATCCCAAAAGTGGGATTTCATCCCACGAGGGTCAAGTAGGGGCCACAAGCCTGACGACTGGCACTGCTCGTTTGCTACCCCTGGCTTAACACTACATGGCAGTGATACCAATTTCTCCTGTGAAAATACCCTGTGAGAGCTACGTGCCTTCTCACCATACGTTCCAGATAACCCTCGTAAGTCGGCCTGCATCTGGAAGGGACACCCACCAAGTACCTTGCGTCCTGGAAGGGCTTGATTTGGCCTTCTGTCCAGGAAATTCACCCAACTCTCCCAAACCTGAACCTTAGGAAGAACTTCTTGACCATAAGGAGAGCTGTCCAACAGTGGAACTCTCTGCGTCGGAACCTTGTGGAAGCTCTTTCTTTGGAGGCTTTGAAACAAGGGCTAGATGGTCATCTGTTGGGGGGTGGGTGGGCTTTGATGGTGCTTTCTCTGCATGAAAGCAGAAAGGGGTTGGACTAGATGACCTCTGTGGTCTCTCCCAACTCCACGATGCTATGTTTCTATACCTATGGGAAGAGTCCCCATATTACCATGGGGGCCTTTGCCAAAGCGGAGCCAGGGAGGGGTCCCATTCTGGGGGCCTCCTCCTGGGCAATGAGTCCCTCCTCCAAAGCCACCCTTCTTTGTCCCATGCAGGATGGCCCAGGCTCACAGGATGGCCACCTGAGCCCCGACCCCCTTTTCCGAGTGGGACCACCCGAGCCCTGCAAAGGTGCTGTCCATGGTGTGGCCTTCACACCCTTTGCAGAAGTGAACACAACCAGTGCTCCTCCTCCTCTGTTCTGCATGGCACGGACCACCTCAAACAGTAAGGAAGGGGGGAAGAAGGGTTTGGGATGGGGGCCACACATGATGTTAAGGAGCAGCTAACCCCTTCACTTCACACTCCTCTTTCCCCCCTCCCCAGCCTCTTCTGCCCCAACGACGACAACAACCACCACCTTCAAGGCCTCCTGGGGGAGGATGGGCAGGAAGCGGGTGGCCCTCATCGCCTGCCTGCTGGTCCTCATTGCGCTGCTGTTGGCCCTCATCCTGCTGTGTGAGTCTGGCGCTGGGACCCTTTCTTGGTTGTCCAGAGGGGTGGGGATTATTGTTAGGAGGGTGTTTATTTTGATCTCCGCAATGTGTCACTCCAATTTCTTAAAAGTGGTAGCTTTACAGACAACAGCCCGCAAAGTAACCAGGTGTTACACCAGACATGGGCAAACTTGGGCCCTCCCTCCAGGTGTTTTGGACTCCAACTCCCACAATCCCTAACAGCCTCGGGCCCCTTCCTTTTCCTGCTCAGCCATTTAAGCTTAACTGAAAAGAGTTAGTAGGTTCAAAGCCCATTAGAGTTAGTGGGCCAAAGCTAGTGTCGTCCTGAGGAGTGTGAGGTAAACCTCAGTGTGAGAGAAGCCTTGTGTGAGAAAGCTCAGGCCCCTTCCTTTTCCCTCTCAGCCATTTAAGCTTAACTGAAAAGAGTTAGTAGGTTCAAAGCCCATTAGAGTTAGTGGGCCAAAGCTAGTGTCGTCCTGAGGAGTGTGAGGTAAACCTCAGTGTGAGAGAAGCCTTGTGTGAGAAAGCTCAGGCCCCTTCCTTTTCCCTCTCAGCCATTTAAGCTTAACTGAAAAGAGTTAGTAGGTTCAAAGCCCATTAGAGTTAGTGGGCCAAAGCTAGTGTCGTCCTGAGGAGTGTGAGGTAAACCTCAGTGTGAGAGAAGCCTTGTGTGAGAAAGCTCAGGCCCCTTCCTTTTCCCTCTCAGCCATTTAAGCTTAACTGAAAAGAGTTAGTAGGTTCAAAGCCCATTAGAGTTAGTGGACCAAAGCTACTGTCATCCTGAGAAGTGTGAGGTAAACCTCAGTGTGAGAGAAGCCTCATGTGAGAAAGCTCCAGTGTGGAGGCTGCTGTTTGTAAAGCTACTATGTATTTGTTTATTTGTGTTATGGAAACCTTATTTGTATAAGTAGTGCAACCATATTGTTAAAGGAAAGGGCCTGAGGCTGTTAGGAATGGTGGGAGTTGAAGTCTAAAAATTTCATCCTGAGGAGTGAGAGGTAAACCTCAGTGTGAGAGAAGCCTCGTGTGAGAAACCTCCAGTGTGAAGGCTGTTTTGTGTGTAAAGCTACTATACATTTGTTTATTTGTGCTATGGAAACCTTATTTTTATAAGTAGTGCAAGCATATTGTTAAAGGAAAGGGCCTGAGGCTGTTAGGAATGGCGGGAGTTGAAGTCTAAAACTTTCATCCTGAGGAGTGAGAGGTAAACCTCAGTGTGAGAGAAGCCCCCAGTGAGAAAGCTCTAGTGTGAAGGCTGCTGTGTGGAAAAGTACTACGTATGTGTTTAGGAATGGTGGGAGTTGAAGTCCAAAACACCTGGAGGGTCCAAGTTTGCCTGTGCCTACCATAGGGTCTCCTCTTTTCTCGTGGAGGTTTTGCAGAACACTCTAGGAAGTAGTTTTTCTGCTCCCTTTCCGCTTAAGCAGTTAACCAAATTTGGGAAAACAATGCCCTGTTCCTGGTTTAGAAGTATTGTTTCCTGTTTCATTGTGCGGTCCCGACTTTGGAAGTAGTTGTTCTGCTCCAGAAACTTTGTTTTTGTGGCTGCCACATTGAATTCCTTGAGACTCAGTGAGATACTAATTCAAAAACTAGAGCCAAATGTGCTGCAGGGATGTCCCTGTTAGATATGACAACCTTCTTCAAGCCTTCTCTAGTCATATTTATTTATTTATTTATTTATTTATTTATTTATTTATTTATATTTATTTATTTACGACATTTATATGCTGCCCTTCCCACCCTGAAGGGGACTCAGAGCAGCTTACTCTCTCTCTCTCTCTCTCTCTCTCTGTATACACACACACACTACATTATATTATTAGCATAGTACAATATCAGTATTCTATATTACTATATTGTACTATATCATTATACTGTAATATTATTAGTAATATTACATGTACTATAAAATATATAATAATATATTATTATTAGTAGTATTATATTGTATTACGTTATAATATTATAAATATTATATGTATATACAATATATTATATTATATTATATTATATTATATTATATTATATTATATTATATTATTAGCATAACACAGGAGACAAGATGGAACTGTCCCCTGGCCCCCTCTCTCTTCACTCTGGCCCAGAGTGGTGGTTAGTGCTGGGGGAAGGGATTGCCAACTGATGATATATGCAGGAGACAAGATGGAACTGTCCCCTGGCCCCCACTCTCTTCACTCTGGCCCAGAGTGGTGGTTGGTGCTGGGGGCGGGGTCCCTAACTGATGACATATGCAGGAGACAAGATGGAATTGTCCCCTGGTCCCCTCTCTCTTCACTCTGGCCCAGAGTGGTGGTTGGTGCTGGGGGAGGGGTCCCTAACCGATGCCATATGCAGGAGACAAGATGGAACTGTCCCCTGGCCCCCTCTCTCTTCACTCTGGCCCAGAGTGGTGGTTGGTGGTGGGGGAAGGGGTCCCCAACTATGACATATGCAAGAGACAAGATGGAACTGTTCGCTGGGCCCCTCTCTCTTCACTCAGGCCCAGAGTGGCAGTTCACTTATCCACGGATTTTTGGCGAATTTTCAAAGCCTTCGCACTGGATTTTTCTCATACGGGGCTTCTCTCACACTGAGGTTTACCTCACAAATAGAAGAGGCCTGAGGCAGAGGCCTGAGGCTGTGAGGAGGGCCCTAGGTGGTACTATGTGGCATGCTTGTTGCTACATCCCTTTCCAGTCTTGTTCTGGTGCTCTGGGCAACGGCAACCATTCATAAACTGGGAGGCAAAACCCCGCGAAACTGCGAGTCCACGAAAAGCGAACTGTGAAGTATCGAGGGAACACTGTAACTCAATGACTAGAATTGGGGAAACTTCAGAGGCTCCTATCTACTTCATTTTAAAAGCCACCAGGGTGAAACTTTCCACAATGGTAGAGCGCATCCACCACTGTGAGTCCACCCAATCTCAGAAGGTTTCACTTATCCATGAATTTTTGGCGAATTTTCAAAGCCTTCGCACTGGATCTTTCTCATACGGGGCTTCTCTCACACTGAGGTTTACCTCGCGAATAGAAGAGGCCTGAGGCTGTGAGGAGGGCCCTAGGTGGCACTATGTGGCATGCTTGTTGCTACATCCCTTTCCAGTCTTGTTCTGGTGCTCTGGGCAACGGCAACCATTCATAAACTGGGAGGCAAAACCCCGCGAAACTGCGAGTCCGCGAAAAGCGAACTGCGAAGTATCGAGGGAACACTGTAACTCAATGACTAGAATTGGGGAAACTTCAGAGGCTCCTATCTACTTCATTTTAAAAGCCACTGGGGTGAAACTTTCCACAATGGTAGAGCACATCCACCACTGTGAGTCCACCCAATTTCAGAAGGTTTCACTTATCCACGGATTTTTGGCGATTTTTAAAAGCCTTCACACATAAAGCTTCTCTCACACTGAGGTTTGCCTCGCAAAAAGAAGGGGCCTGAGGCTGTGAGGAGGGCCCCAGGTGTCACTATGTGGCATGCTTGTTGCTCCTGCCCTTTGCAGTCTTGTTCTGGCGCTCTGGGACGGACATTGTGTACAAGGAGCCGGCGGAGAGCTGCAAGTCCCCCGCCATCCGCTGCAACGGGATCCCTGACTGTTCCCAGAAGAGCGACGAGCTGGACTGCGGTGAGGAGAGAGGGAGGGAGAAGGGGCGGGGCTTCCCAGGCTCAAGTCCCGCCCCTCTCTCATCCTCCTCCTCCTCCACCCCTTCTGCCCCTTAGTGCGCTTCGGCTGGAACCAGTCCTTGCTGCGGGTCTTCTCGGCGGCGGAGCAGGAGTGGCTCCCCGTCTGCAGCCAAGCCTGGACCGGGGAGTTCGCCCAGAAGACCTGCCGACAGCTGGGCTTCGGGAAGTGAGTTCTCCTGGGGGAGGAGAAGGGAGGAGGGAGGGGAAGGGGCGGGGCTTGCCTTGCTGGGGGCCTGACCCGGCTCCGCCTTCTTCTCCTTCTCCTCTAGCGTCTCCGAGAGCGACTCCGTGGCGCTGCCCCACGCCGGGAAGAGCCTCCTCCCCGCCGCCCTGAAGGACACCATCCAGCAGAGCCTCAACAGGTGAGGGGGCCGGGCCTGGCCTGTGGGTGGGGCCTGGACTTGCGGGGTGGGGTCTGCACTTGAGGTACTTCAGGAGGGAGGGTCTGCATTTGGAGGGCGGGGCCTCGACTTGGAGAAAAAACCTGGACCTGTGGAGGGGGTCTGCACTTGAGGGCGGGGCCTGGAGTTGGGGGCAGGGCCTAGACTTGAGATACTGGTGGGAGGGTCCGCATTTGGGGGCGGGGTCGACTTGGAGGACCCCTCGACTTGGAGGAAAAACCTGGAC